CAGTTTCGCCGGCATGGCACGCGTCAGCGAGTGCTCGACGCAGTGCCGCGACGGCAAGGGTACGACGGCGACGACGACGACGGCGACGACCATCCTTCCCCTTCCCCTCTCCCCATCGGCCTCAATGGCGGGGCTACGAGCCTACGGCGCGGAGACCTCGACGATGGCCATCCGTCTCTCTTTCTCTCCTCTGACTCCAAGCAAGAGGAGAGCGCTGGAGGGCGGGGCACCAGGTAGAGGGAGGGGGTGCCAGCGCGGGTTGGGATGTGCCGAGTGTGGTCGTGCCCAGCGGGGAGGCCACGATAGGAGCGCGGTCGGCGGCGATGGCGACCAGCTCGGAACAACCGGATTTGACGGCAAGCTTACTCATCTGTGTGATTTTTTTCCTCTCTTTTTTTTCCTTTTTCTAGGATTCTCGACCTGTGTAATTGTCCGATTGGATGATTATTTTAGATTCTCCGTGAAGAACAAAAAAATTCGCCCTTTTTTTTTATCACGGACAGAGGTTTTTTTCTCCGCGTCATTGATGACTCGGACTTTCCTTTTTTTTCTTTTTATATGTTTTTTCGCCTTTTTATATGTTTTATCACGGACGACGGAAAAATCTTTAATTTTTCAAGTAAGTAGTCATGTATGTGCTAATGAGTGCTAATGAGGTTTATCGTGACGTGCCTTAAAAATCTGTTTTCAAAACTACCGATCGAACTTAGCCTGAGTCGGACTTTTTTTTCAATTTTTTTATTACGGACGAGAAGTCCTTTTTCTCAAGGGAGTCGGAAGTTTTTATTTTTAAAATGGGAGTCGGACTTTTTTTTTCGACAGAAGTCTTTTTCTCGCCTTTTTTTCGCGCGTTTTTTTTTCGGTCATCTGGATGACGGAAACAAGTTTTACTTTTTAAAGTAGTTGTAGAAGTAGATAGTAGATAGTAGATAGAAGTAGATATATATCTCTGTGTGTGTGTTCTCTTAGCGACTTAAATGTCAATGCTTAAAAATAACCTTTCGTGAAAAAACTGTAAAATAAACTTCAAAGTTAAGTTTTAAAATTTAAATTTTGGCATTAACTGATACTGAATAGAGTAAATGATGGGGGCCTACATTTTCAACTCAGACAATTAGGCATGAAAATTCTATACATAGTACTTGTGCATTTTCCATCGAAGTGGATTTGCATTCATATCCTCTCTTTCTTTTCTTTTAAAAAAAGGCATGATAAATCTATATGAAATATATCATTTCACAAACATACAAATTCAAATTTAACCAATAAGTAAAAATAAACAAAATCAACAAGTTACCTGCGCAAGTAGAAAAAAAAATAATAAATTTGAGTGCAGGTTGAATTTGAATTTGCATGTTTGCACTTTGTAGATTGATATTTTATATTGACCTATCATTAAGAGATGAAAATAGTTTTTTTTTTAGAAGAAAGTCGGTAATTTCATTCATGAGAAGTCAGATTTACATGCGTCTCAACCTGGAGGGTTTAGCAGCCACGCATGACGCCCCTCACTCAATGTACATACAAACTTAGCCAATTTATGAGCATCTACATTTAGATCCCAACTTTCATGACGAAATTCTGCTCTAACAAAGTGATGGCTTCTTATGTTGATGTCATTAAGGACTACCAAACACCTGCATTTTGGTATTGTCGCAATACCCATGATAACTTCTTGACAGTCCGAAGCAATACAGACCTTTAGGATGTTGCAGTCCATGGCGATAGCAAGTCCTTCATTACAAGCAAGAGCTTCTAGTGTAGTTGGATCAGACATCCCTTCCCAAACCATAGCACTAGCTGCCACAAATTTACCAGATGTGTCACGACAAATAGCTCCAACAGCTCCTTTGTTGCTTTATCGAGAAACAGCTGCACCAACATTAATCTTCATGCAAATAGTTGACCTGTTGTCCATGAAACATATACATCAGAACATGGGCGGACCCAGCCCCTGGACACCCTAAACCATGGCCCGGAGCTTATGGTTGAAAGCCCATGGGCCAAGACTTATTTTCACCATGCTAGAATGAGATGGTACGTAGCAAATTAGTACACATAGGAGATTTGTTCTGATTGCATGGAAATAGGACAACTGTCCAACTTGCTGATGCACAATCTGAAGGTACATGTTTTCTGGAAACTCTACGGAATTGTTCAAACTGTTCTCCTGAAACAAATAGTGCACACTCTATACCTTGTTGATTACAAGGACCATTGGCACTCGGAACCTGAGGATTTCTAATTTCCAAAAGAAACAAAAATAGAATAGTCACAACATAGTATTGTTTAATGGAGACAAACAAAAGATCTCAGATAGTAGTAGTTCTGTAAATGTCTGGACTACCGAACCAGGAAGGTAAAACTTACACCAAAGCCAGCTAGCTAAGCAGCAATCCTGAACAAGTCAGGAAACTGGCAATAAAATGATATCGAATGTGACTTACTGATCAACACATGCTCAATAAGTTTAGTATCATCTTCAGTCCACTCATCAACTACACTTATTGTCATGATGATCAGATGATCAGCTCCCAGTGCAGCAGCTTAATTCTGATCATTGCAAGTTTATGTAAGAGCAGAATTAAAGAGATATGTCAGGAGAAGACCATAACTTCTTATGCAAGTATGCAGCATTGAACATGCATATCCTAATTTCTAAGATAACAATATCTCACCAACTCTTTCCATGATGTCATAAGTTTCTCCTATACCAGCAGTATCTAGAAGGGTAATGGGGTTTGCCATGAATTGGAGACATTTGCTTCTACTACATCCCTTGTGGTTCCACCTATTTCAGTAACTTTTATGGATGCCAGCTCTTTCACTCTGCAAGTTAATCATTTAAATTCCAATATCAATTATTATGGATGCCATCCAAGAGAAATCCAACTACCTATGGTATTCCAAGTATATATAGTACAAGTTTCAGGAGCATGATAAAATTAAAAGAGATGGCTCGAAAACATGTGCAGGTTAAATATGCAAAAGAGATAAGAGGGATATCTAAGCACATACCTTACTCCAAGCATTCAGGAGGCTTGACTTGCCAACATTTGGCGGCCAATTATCGCTGCCTTCGGGCCTGTTCACTTTGATGCCATTTTCAACATTACCAAATTTTGGTAAAGTTGCCAAAAAAAATGGCTACATTTAGTTTGCTGCCAAATTTTGTTAACTATATAAGAAATCCTACCAAAATTGCCAAAATTTTGGCAATTATGCCAAAATTTCGGCAATGCCAAAATTTGGTAAGGTTTTTTTTAGCATCAAAATGAACAGGCCCTTCATTGAATTGTGAAATCATTTTCTTTCTGTACTCATTATGGTTTTATTTTAAACTTAAAATACAATATAAAGGAAGTACCTGTAGGCTGGTTGTAGCAACAACTTATCATAATTAGCAGTGTCCAAAGCATCCTGAACCTCTTGCCTCATACCATTAATTTTGTTGGCCAGCATTTTGCTGGATCCAAGCTAGGGAGGCAATTCGTCTTCAAAGTCTGATGGGCCTCAATTTCAGTGAGTAATTCTATGCACCTTGATCTCAATGATTTTACTAACACATTATCCCTCCGTTTCAAAATGTTTGACACCGTTGACTTTTTAGCACATGTTTGACCGTTCGTCTTATTCAAAAAAAAATTTGTGAAATATGTAAAACTATATGTGTACATGAAAGTATATTTAACAATGAATCAAATGATATGAAAAGAATAAATAATTACTTAATTTTTTGAATAAGACAAATGGTCAAACACGTAATAAAAAGTCAACGGTGTCAAACATTTTGAAACGGAGGGAGTATAAACCGCCCTACATTGAAACGAATTGAAATCCGGTGCTGTAGTAGTAACAACTACAACTTCAGCAGTCGAATTTGCTCTGCCATCCTATTACACCATCGATGAATAGTATTTTCTTCCCATCAGAGCCGTTGGTTTTTGATCTATCAGCTACACCGCAACTGCTAAAGTTGCAGTCGTAATAAAAACTGCACCAGATCTCGATCCCATTGAAACATATGTACAGTTCAGACCATGTTGTGTGAGCAACTGGGCTTTCAGCCTCTTCAGAAAAGCCTTCTACATTGGGATTCTCAAAGGAGCTGAACTAAAGCTCCCTGATGTAAAAGGGTTTAAAATTCAAACCTTCGTAACATTTCCCTTTTTTCGTGTACTCAAACGAAATTGCAAGAACATAAGCTTGTGACATACTTATATAATGTATAGTTGTATGCCTGTCAATACTGAGTCTACTTGTGCCAAGGGTTTAGAGTTTAGGATTTAGATTTGGCTGAAATGAGCGTGGACACATTCTCTGCTTGTGCCAAGTCCAACAAAATAGCTGAGAATTTCGCTTTGCAGTGTTGCCCTTTGCTTCAACTATTATGGCCAAGTTTAGTTCCAAACTTTTTCTTCAAACTTCCAAATTTTCCATCACATCAAAACTTTTCTACACACACAATCTTCTATCTTTTCCGTCACATCGTTTCAATTTCAACCAAACTTCTAATTTTGGCGTGAACTAAACACAGCCTATATCAAAGCTATCACTTTGCTACAATTTCAAATGAGAATTTCGCAAAACTACGACGCTAATGATTTTATTAAAGAATTACAAACTTTATTGAACTAATAGATCAGATCCACCTGTCAAGTACACGTGCAATACCTGGATTGTTGCAAGTTGAGCTCACTTGTCAAACTCACGTGGAGAATAAATTTTGGAGTCACAAATATGGTTTGGTATCATTGCAGCTTTGTAAAACATTCAGCTAAAATTTACAGCAAAGCTATAGTTTTGACAACATATTTACAGTTTGTGAAATTCACTCAAAAGTATGGCCTCCAATTCGTGCCGCCAAGTGAGCTTCAAACTTCCTAACAACGCATCAAACTAAACAAAGGTCATGCGTACACTTAACGCTCACAGTGCTTCTCCCTCTCTCCATCGTGCGCAAGCAACAATACACACAATATGGGTCTTTACAACTGATGGGCGTGATGAAATCGGTTTCGATAGTTTATAACCATCCAGTCACCTTTTCAAAACGGCCAGTGTCGGAAAGATAATTTTGGATGGTACCTAAAACAGAAACGAATTCAGAAAATTTTTTAAAAACAGAAACAAATACAGTAAGGCTTGTATCCTGTGAAAACGATAGAAATTATCCGGATACCTATCTAGATAGTTTCCGGAAACAAATACCTAGCCCATATTTATTTCTATTGGGTTCATAGAATGGAACTGCCTTCACTAGGTTATACAGAGCTGGGTGGTGATGGAACAGCAGCACACAGCTTCATTTCATTTCTGCAAGTCTATGTCCAGCGACGAATCGGAGCGGAGTCGCTTGGGCTCCCTCTCGCCCAGATGCAGGGAGAAGCAAATGTCTTCAGGTGAATTCTCTAGCTCCGCAAGGTTGTTCAGGTCGCCATTGGCTTCTTGGCCTTCGCGTGCTGGAGACATGCCAATGAGGAATTGGCGCTCCTCGACGTTGGTGACGCCTTCCACCGTGTCGACATGGAACTCATCGGGTCCTGTGGAGGTGGCTGAATTGTCTCTTGGAAGCTGTTGGATGTTGATTCCAAGAGGCTCGTAAATCTTGTCAACTTTCTCATTTTCTTGAGGACCAGCAACAGGTGACGATTCCCCAGCAGTTGAATTAGCTGCTGCTGCAGCAGCAGCTAGAATAATTCGTTGTTCCTCTAGGGCCTCTGTACCAAAGATCAAAGAGTTCCATTGGAGTTTCTCAGTTATTTGTTACAACCGAAAGGACTAAATATCATGTTGTGGTAGAGATTTCAGTTTTAAGAAAGCACAAACCTTGTAGTCCTTCACTTGTAGTGATTAGATCAAGCTCCAATAGATCCAGAAGCCGTCCGAGATCAACCCCACTTGTCCAGTTCTCAGGACCCTGACCACTTTTGAGCTTCAACCTCCCCCGATTGGCTGTGCCACCCCATATAATCCCTATGGGCTGTGGCTTTTCGCCATCTTTTCCTGTTAAGATTATAAGGCTTCCACTATCCCCTTCAAGATCAAATGTTTGTTGGTTCTCCCCAACAACAAGAAAGTCTGTGAAGAAGCATATGCCCTTCTCATCATTGTATTCAAGAGCGTATGCCACAACGGTCCCTGTCGTCAAACCAGAGCTTCTTCCAACTTTGACAACCTGTCTTCCGATGAGACTGCTAATTGGGGATTGTAGATCGATTGCCTTTACATCACCTATGACTCCAACTCCTTTGACTGAGGTATTAACACTAGTTATGTCATAATCATCAGCAAACGGTATAAATGCACCATCAGCTCTGACAAATGTCTCTGCAGATTAAATGATTTGTTACAGAACAAATATGTTATGAAAAATTAGATGACAGCTAAAGAAGCAATGAGCAGAAGTTAATGCATTTTAACAAGGATCTGGCACAAGATGCTACAAGCTGCAACCATATGCCAAAACATGAAGGCTCCAGAAATAAATTGTTCTGGCAGGGCAAAATGTTACCTGGATTTGTTCCCGCATAGATACCATACCAAACATCATCTGTGATAAATGATGTTGCTCGCTCAACAGCACCTAGGTATACACCAGGCCCAAGATTCGGGGGCAAGGGATGGAACATCTTCTGGTTAGGGTAATCCAGGTCAACCGCAACATGCCTGTTTGTCAGGAAGCCTACTTGCTTATTACCAGTTCGACTCTTCACAATGGCACCCAATGTACCATATGTTTCAAGGCTAGCTACCTGAAGATTAAAAAAAGAAACAAATGCAAGTTAGCTGTGTCAATTTCATGAAGTTGGGTGCGTACGTACAGAAGTGAAGAACTAAATATATTGTGCTCTACAGGGAAAATATATTGCAACGAAAAAGAGCAGAAATAATCTTTTCTCAGCAAAGAAGGCCATATATAAATAAAAACACGAGTACTTAAGAATGGCCAACCTGATAAAACAGTCAAAGAAAGATGCAGTATTAACCTATCTGTTTTGTCATGCAGAATCAAGAAAATGGTAACTTCAACATGAAAAGGCAATATAACCTGTGAACCAGAGCCGATAGATGGATCACTACCACGCAGACCATCAACAAGCTCGTCATACAATTGTTCCTTTGGAGTTGGTGCTGGTGCCCCATAGTAAGAGAATTCAACAACATCGACATCACACCACACTCCCCCCGGTCCCTATGTATGACACAGTAAATTCATTATGTAATTGCATATGACCTAAATATATTGCTAAACCACATGATCCGTATACCTCAAGGTGAGCCGGAAGGCACTGTGTAGGGCTGAGCCACTTCCTGTGCACCTTCCGAGCAACAAAAACAAGGATGGCAGGAGTATCAGTCAATGTACCCTTCTTGATTCGAAAGCCTATTGCTGTACCAAGACTAAAGCGACGTAGGATCTTGCTGTGGAATGCTCTTATAATCATCAAATCAAGCAAGGTGGTGGCCCTTTGCCCTGTTGGCAAGCGGCCAAGATGTCCAGGTAACACACCCTTCTGTAGGTTCCCAAAGTAATTAGCGCGGCCTTCGGCAGACCCGTGCATTAGAGTAGATGTTGGCCAAGAAAAATATGCAGCGCTGCTTTCAGAGTGCTGACCACCTGATGCAATTGGTTGGAGAGGAGATGGGCAACAGTTATGGTTGCATCCGTTTCTCTCCATATCCAGTGCTGATCCCTCTGACTGTGATGACCCTGCATGCGCCTTCCAAATATCTGAGGGCCACATTATGCAAGTATCATCTAGTTCTGTTGAGCTTTAGAAATCCTCACTGTTGAGTAACTTTACCACTGAGAATAGAAACATAAAGAAACAAAGTAGGTTACTCTAAGTTCATGGAGATTAATTAAGAAAACTAAAATAAAATTGCATCAGGTATCAGCTACAAAATGACAGGTTATAATAAGGAATTTACCTACAAATTTTGACTACAAAATCAGAATTCGTAAGCATGTATAACTGCCAGAGGAAGCAGGGGAATCAGTGTCACTGCACCGTATTCCAAGGAAATAAGTATCAAAAACGTTGCAAGATAGACAGCATAAAAAGCACTACAATGGGGATGGCGTAAACAGAATAAAGCTCTCTTTGCAGAGAATAAGTGCAAAGTTATCTGCAAGTACCATTCCTTCCACTGGAATAAAAATACTTGGACAAATGGAATGCTAGACAACTATAGAGGTCGAAGTTACAAAACTAAATGAAACATAACGCCAGCAAACATTTTTAAGGTAAAAAGCAAATACGGGGATACACAAATGTCCCATACATTGTCTGGAATGTTAAATATGACCACGAATGGAATCATCATAAACCTATCATATAGAAGGCATCACATAGTTTCCCATACAACATAGTGTAGTTTAACTGAGGGAAGAGATACATGTCACATCAAAATTGAGACAGCAAAGTATTTTCTATTTTATTTTATCCAAAATTCAGATGTAAAACAAGAGGTGCTATGAGAATATCTAACATATGGGCACCTTATGTGAGACACCAAAATTCTATGAACTCAATAAATAAGTTGTATTGTTTATGGGAAGTTCCACAGTGATGCACATATTGGTAAAAAAATAGTTATATTTATGTTCTAATATTAACTGCGTTCCCTCAAAATTAAAGCTGAAAAAGAAGGAAGAGGACTGGAGAAAGCATAGTTCACAACCTAGGAGATGATCACAACTACATGGGTGCATAGGGGAAAGATAGACCATCAACAATGAGGAAAATGAATGAAGCTAGGGAGATCAGAGATGTGTTCCCTCACAATGACTATTATAATCACTAAGTAATAAGGGATCTCTCACAATGCATATCACAGAGGACCTGGCCTAGACACTGGAAATCGAAATGGTTTATGACTTGGATTTTCAATTTCATCCCCCAATCAGGGCACCCATAGTGCTGCACCCGTGGATGGTAACATCACAGGGCCACATCGTGGGTGGGTATTCATCAACTGACCCCATTCCAATCATGCAAGTTATCCAAAAAGGCAGGCATATTTTCAAAGGAATCTATCTAAAAGAGAGAGAAGCGGGGGAAGAAACATAATTTGCTGTAATTTCCACTAATCTCTCAAACATGGATAAATGAGAAAAATACAACACAGATAAGCCTAAAATGCGAAGCAGCAGAGCAAAAGAACAGCACGGAGCATAATCCCCTCCATGTTCATAAAGACACCCTCCCAGTTTCTACTCAGAATGCAAAGGATCTATCCCTAAAACTGAAAGAATCGAAAACTTCACATCATTTCATCGGTAGCAAAGCAAGAAACAGGCCCTCTAATCTACAGACGAACCAACAAAATCGACATGGTCAAAGAACAGCACACCAGAATGGCCAAGAACAGCAAAGTCACCAACCAGCCGAAGCAGAATCAATCAGAGACGAGCCAAAATGCCACGGGAGCTCCTCTTCCTCCTCCTCCTCCTCCTCAGCACGGACAACGGCGACGCAGTCTCTCCCACCTGCTGCTGCAACCCATATCTGAACCTAAAATCTCCCTTTCATCCAAGCACGAGAAGAGCACCAGCAAGGGGCGTGCACGGGGAGGGGAAAAAAAGGCGAGAGACGCCGGCGCACTAGCTCTCTCTCTCTCTCTCACCCCACCCACCACTACCACGGATCGACCACCACCGCGCGCACATGGTGTAGGACCCCCCCCCCCACACACCCCCCGGGGTGGAAAAAGGAGGAAAGGGAAAGGACGCCGAGGAGCGCCCAACCGGCCGGTAGTTGAGTTGGAAGACGCCGCGGCTTTTCTCGCGCACTTGGCACCGGCGCTACTCGCCGCCGCCGCGAGCTTCTTGGATCTGTGACCCTCTCTCTCTCTCTCTCTCTCTCTCTCTCTCTCTCTCTCTCTCTCTCTCTCTCCGGCGAGATTCTTAGGGGGGCGGGGAGAACGGTACCTGCGGCAGGAGGAGGAGGAGGAGAAAGAGCGGTGGAGCTCCATGGATGGTCGTCGCCGGGGAGGGAGGCGGTGGTCGGAGGGGGGGGGACCACCAGTCCACGAGCCCAGTAGTAGGAGTAGGAGGAGGAGGACGCTTCTGTGGGGAAGAACGGAGGGGGAGGCGCTGTCAACGCATCCTCGTCCAGGGGAGGGCGGCTCGCGAGAGAAGGGCTCGCCGGCGGCCGGCCGGGCTGCTGCCGCGGGGGAAGAGCGCCGGTGAGGGGGGTGGGAGAGAGACGAACTGGGGGGAGGAGGAAAGAACGAGCTCTCATCGATTTTGGACACTTTGGTCTTTTCACGTGCCTAGGGGCCTAGGAGTGAAAAAAAAAAGATAGTAATTAAGATAAATAAAAACTGTCACAACGGTAAATGAGTACTACTAATAGAGTTGTCATCTCCCTTTTTAAGCCAAATTTTGGTAACTCTAACTGGAAATCATGCTCCAACGGAGTTGTCATCTCTCGCTACAAGCTTGACCAAATGAATCATTTCACTAGCTGAACTCGGGGAGTCATTTTGTGTTGCCAATCATAGGCCCCACCACTCAACCCCATCCCCTCTCTGTTTGTGGCATAGCCTCGCTAGAGACGATGACCGTCACCCGCCATCCACACTATTGGTGTTCCGTGTTATTGTCGTGCCGCCGTCCTACGCCATCATGCTCGTCGTGGTCGTCGCCTATCGCTGCCCCGCGCCATTACAACCGCCGTCTGTCGATATCCCACAACATCACCGCTAGGGGTGAAAATAGGGCGGGTATTTCCCAACCGCCTGCCCGACCTGAGGCTCGCGGGAGGAATATGGGAAAAAAAAACCTGATACTATCTGAGTTCGAATATTCGCTAGGAAAATATGGGGTACGATACGGGAAGACATGTATCCGCCCGTATGTCCCATATTATAAAATATGTATGACAATTTATTATAAATCCACCTAAAACGTGATAAAAGATTGGTTAATCATTATTTTACGTGTTCATATGTAATATTTTATATTTTTTCTTGATGTATCTCTTTAGTGCTTTAATTACCTTATTATATTTAATATATGAATTAGAGATACAAATTAATATCCGTTCCCGAATCCGATGCGAAGGAAATAATATGGGATAGGATTAGAGGATGAGTGATATGTTATTCGGTACTAACCGTACCCGGCTCCGAATTTAAAAGACAATACGGGTTATGATATGGGAATGTCATAATTTGATTTGTAACCGCCCGTTTTCACCCCTAATCACCGCCTTCCATCCATGTTGTCACTGTCGTCGCTTGGATCCACAGGATAGGAAAAGGGGAAGGGCGACGTCGTGCCACCGTCTATGCTACCATCTATGTCACCATCTATGTCATTGCCACAGCCAAGATAAGCATTGTGAAAGGGAGTGGAGGGATTGTGCAGGGAAGGGGAAGAAGAAGTGGGAAGGAGAAGAGAGAGAGAGCAGGGGTGAAGGAGAAGGGTGAAAAGGTAGGGAGACTAACATGTAGGATTCATTATTAGATTGGAGAGTGTATTGGAGAAGCTGTTGAAGTAAAAGGTAAATTTGACTATCTAATTTTTTGGCAAACTGATCATATGGGTGTTTTTAGGAGTTAAATTTGGATAAAGTACTCTAGAGTAAGTATATTGGCGGATGATGGTGATGGTATTTTAGGTTGTATCACGTTGGGACGGTATTGAGGTGAACAACGTTGGCATTTTATAATAGCAAAATGTCTCGTAGGTTAGCTAGAAATAAAAGTTGCTAAAAATCACTACACTACTTCTCGTTCACGATTGCCATGAAGATTTATTTCTTTATCCGAAAGAATAGCTAGCTACGATAATGGGTTAATCTGATCCATGATATTACAATTTAACAGTATTTAAGATATGCCACTACTTACCATTCGGTATATTTTCCAAAAGAAATTTTACTAAATCTAACCATTGAAGTTTTCCAAAAGAAAATATTTTCCCTCTAGCTCAGTTTTTGGACGCGACTATATGTTTCCTCTTTGTTGCTCTTCGAGTCTCTACCTATGTGTTTGTGTGCAAACTGCATACCCCTTTTTTTTAACGTAGAAACCAATGACCCTCTCTCCTTGCATCTTAGTGCAGCACGCAATTACCCGTTGCATCTCCCCTTCTCTTTCTTGCTCTCTCCAAGTAATTGTGTATATGTCACATGAATATATAATTTCTTACCTTTAAACTATTTTTTGTTGTTAAATTATTTATTTGATTTACGTTTCGATTGTGCCTTTATATCTGCAATTTAATCTTTATAACAAGATGTCACATAATTATATTCTAATACAAATATATTTCCTACAAAATTATTATTTCAATACTTATAAAAGAAATAGTCCATCATCTTGTAAAATATTTCAACTCAAATAGTGAAATGCTTCAAAGATATAAAACATTAAAAAACCGTAAAACCAATTACCACCGTACAAAATGTCCCAACGAGTGAAATACTTAATTTTGTTGCAATATTTTTTTATCATGTATGGAACATCAAAAGATACATGCTAAAAAAGCAAAGAACATCATGCATAATATTTACAAATAAATAAAGCATTAGAATATACTTATTGAAACATCTCAATAAAATCATGTGCAACGTTAAAGAAGATACATGAAAATAAAACTAAAAAGTTAGAAATATAATCATATAAAATCTTGCTATAAAATTTAAACATCAAAAGATACATGCTAAAAAAGCAAAGAACATCATGCGTAATATTTACAAATAAATAAAGCATTAGAATATACTTATTGAAACATCTCAATAAAATCATGTGCAACGTTAAAGAAGATACATGAAAATAAAACTAAAAAGTTAGAAATATAATCATATAAAATCTTGTTATAAAATTTAATTACAATGAGTACAAGAGTACAAATTTGATTGTTGATCGGATAAGCAATTAAGAAGAAAAAACATTTTTAAGATTGCTTAGAGTATACAAGCATGCATGCATAGTTGTCGTGGGTGTATGGACTCGCTAGCGAAGGCATCTGGTTTTTCCAACACTTTTTCTTAATTTTTGATAAAGAATATAAAATTGCTTATAGTTTAGAATGGGGAGGTGGTAACACTTTATTAAGTCGGTGCATCGAGAGTTTATGGTGTTTTATAGCTGGGTATTGTTTAGCGTGGATTCTTACGATAATTAATGTTTCTTTAAGAAGATACGCGTACGACTGTTTAGTAAGCAAAGTACTCCTAAACATGATAAGGGTGAGGGTGAGGACTTCTACTTATTTGGTAAGCAAGCACTCCTCCAAAAAACATGATAAAGCAAAATGGGAGTGAAAAATTGCATAAAAAAAGCAAGCACTCCTCCAAGAACAAGATAAAGCAGTTGGGCCAAATTAAAGTCGGAGTGAAAAATTGCAAATAATAATAATATGATAAAGCGTGAGTGAAAAATTGCAAAAAGAAAAAAAAAAGGTTGGCCCAAAATAAAATGGGAGTGGAAAATTGCAAAATAAAGAAAAAAAATCCGACCTGCCGGATTCGAACCAGCGACCTAAGGATTTAACTGCAACGACTACAGTCCTCCGCTCTACCAACTGAGCTAAGGTCGGTTTGTGGTTAACACTTCTTGTTATTATGTATAGAACTTAAATAAGCAGGTGGTGTGTTCCTGCAAAAGCAGGCTAACTCGATACAAATGGTTGATAAATTGATAGAGGCCTTTTCACTAACACACCATTCAGGTGATGTGTTACTGTACTAGATTGTGATTCCAGAATATCTTTTTGCATATGTTAGGGTCAAGCCGTCTGCCATTAGATGCGCGACCAAAGCACAATTGCCAATCACAAGCACTAGGCATATCCATACATTGTGGCAGTCATTCAAAACAGTTGTGAGGATGATCGAAGCAGTACATATGAGTCTTCTTCCATTACAGAGCTATAAACTGCCTCTAAACTGCTCGTGTAGATGAGGCAAGTTTTGCAAGCATATATAGCACAGCTGCTCAAGTGAACGGTGAAAAATCTAGTAAACTCGAAGCCAGTCATTGAGCTCAATCATCAATATGTTCGAGCAAACTAAGTCATGTACTCCTGTTGTGTCTCAAACATGAGTCGGATGGTGACTGACTGGCAATTCACATAATTTTATGCGCCGATATATGTTACTGCCTGTTCAAGTTGCAAACAGATCTTCGGCTCAAAACAACTGATTGTAACCATATTCAGTGGATCAACAAGAATATGCAGTTTACCGTGCTTGCCAGTCATTTTCCAATGCAAAATTTGCTGAATATGCTGCTCAGGACTTCTTCAGAGATATCCTCCCCGCTGATTGTTGCAAGAGCCAATGCTGCTTCCCTCAAGTCTATAGTCCAGAAGTCCATCGGCAACTGCTCGTTGATAGATGACTCTAGCCTAGTAAAAGCTTGTTGGGTCCTCAATAGCTGTTCAAATTGCCTCTGCATAATGCATACAAAAGAGTTTCACAAGCAGTTAAAGCATCATGCATATGCAACATTTTGAATTTCTTAACAGCTGAACTATTTCCCTTCTGTTATTGAGAATACTATGTTACCTACCTGATTTACAGTCCATCGCCGTCCCTCTGATGGTACAGGCTCAAGACCTCTGACCTCTATTATAGCCTTCTCCAACTCAGAAATGCCTTTACCAGTGACTGCACATGTTTGCACATGTTTTTTGAAAACTCCATGGAATTGTTCAAACTGTTCTCCTGAAATAAATGGTGCACAATCTACCTTGTTGATTACAAGGACCATTGGCACTGGAGCACCTGAAGATTTCTGATATTCAAAAGAGAACATAAAATAGTCACTATGTAGTACTGTTGAATGGACACAGACAAGATATCTAATAGGAGTTCTATAACTGTAAGGACTACCGAACAAGGAACGTAAAACTTATACCAAAGTCAGCTAGGCAGCAATACTGAACAAGGCAGGAAAACTGGCAAGAAGATGAAACTGAACGTACCTTACTGATCAACACATGCTCAATAAGTTTAGTGTCATCTTCAGTCCACCCATCAACTGCACTTATTGTCATAATAATCAGATCAGCTCCCAGTGCAGCAGCTTCTGATCGTTCCACACCTGTGTAAGAGCCCAATTAAAGACTTATGTCAGGACAAGCTAAGCGCCTAAGCCTTTACCATTATACAAGTATGCACTGTGCAGCATTGAATATTTCCAAGATAATATCTCACCAATTTTTTCCACGATGTCATCAGTTTCTCTTATACCAGCAGTATCTAGAAGGGTAATAGGGATGCCATGAATTGAGACATTTGCTTCTACTACATCCCTTGTGGTTCCAGCTATTTCAGTAACAATAGCCCTTTCACTCTGCAAGCTAATCATTTAAATTCCAATATCAACTATTTTGGATGCAATCCAAGAGAAATCACAACCACGTATGGCATTCCACGTATAAGGAATGTGGTGCATGAAAAAAAAAAAAAAGAGAACTGCAAACATTACTCCTAACTATCCACACTGTAGGAATTTGCTGAAAAAAGAACAAATTTTAGTTTTGTATTTAGTTCAGAATTTGCTGAAAAGGAACAAAGTGAAACCCGTCCAAATTTATGTGTGGCTCATGTAGTCCATGGGTCTGTGCCATTTGGTAAGCAGTACTAAGCTACTGACAAAAAGTGCATGTTGGCCTATGTGAGGATAAAAGATCAAGCGAGTTGCTAAGCATGCGCAACCCCGTCCACATCTGGGATTCAAGTGAATCTAGGTCCCATGACGTTACACAAAGTAAAACAATTACTCATACAAATCAGATGGCATTAGGAGCATAGGGCATGCACATCAGTGTCTTAGTATGGACATAGGTTTCATGAGCATGCTAACATAAAAAGAGACAACTGGAAAACACACGACGGTTAACTATGCAAAAGATATAGGAGGGATATCTAAGCACATACCTTACTCCAAGCATTCAGCAGGCTTGACTTGCCAACATTTGGGCGGCCAATTATTGCTACCTGCCAGAAATTATAAAATCATTTTTTATTTTCATATTCATCGTGTTTTTATTTCAACCCTTAAATAGAAATATACAATACAAAGAAAATACCTGCAGACCAGATTGTAGCAGCTTATCATAATTAGCAGTGTCCAAAGCATCCTGAACCTCTTGTCTCATACCATTAATTTTGCTGACCAGCATTGTTAGATCCAAAGGAGGCAATTCATCTTCAAAGTCTAGACGGGCCTCAATCTCAGTGAGCAATTCTATGCACCTTGATCTCAGTGATTTTACTAGTGCAGAAAAGCCTCCCTGCATCCAAAACATATTTAGAATTCAGACCACCACGCATGTTGTGCAAGCATTCAGTTTCTTAATAAAGCTTTCCACAATGGGCTTCTCAAAGGAGCTGAACTGAAGCTCGTGATGTAAAAATTTTCAAATTTACAGAAAGAAACAACAGTTTCAGTTACTTCCTGTTCTCGAGTATTTAACCATTCGGTATCTCTGCTAAATCCCAAACCTTTCTAACACTTCCCCACCTATATTTTATTTTGTTTTTGTGTACCCAAAACAAGTTGCCACAACATAAGCTCATGACATACTCACACGTACCTGTATGCCAGCCAATGCTGAGTCTGCCGCAGCTGCAGATTTGGCTGAAATGAGCCTTGACACATTCTCCGCTTGTGCCAAGTCCAACCTCCCATTCAGAAACGCACGAACAGTGAACTCACCTGGAAAAGACATAAATTTGGCGATGAGCCGTAATGCATTGAAAAAACATACTCCCTCCGTATTTTAATGTATGACGCCGTTGACTTTTTAACCAACGTTTGACCATTCGTTTTATTCAAAATTTTTGTGCAAATATGAAAATACTTATGTCATGCTTAAAGAATATTTGATGAAGAATCAAGTCACAATAAAATAAATTATAATTACATAAATTTTTTGAATAAGACGAATGGTCAAACGTTGGACAAAAAATCAACGGCGTCATACATTAAAATATGGAGGTAGTATATAGCAACAAATTATCTGTCATTGTTAGCTCTATGAGCTAAGAAATTTGTAGGACAAGCATGGTAAGAAGGGGAAATCAACATATCCATCGATTAAGTAGGAAGCCAACCAGGGTCAGCAAGCCTAGCACCAGCTTCCAAGCAGGCCCTGAGCACACGCCGCAAGCACAGGTCATTCCCATGGCACTGGAGCTCCACCACATCCTCCCGCGTGTACGATCTCGGAGCTAGCATCGGCACCACTAAGACCTGACAGGAATCGCGAGATTTAGCACGCGCGGATAATCAAATCAAAACAAAACCAACGCGCAGTAGTGTACCTCGTCGATGACGCCGCCATCGCGGTCGAGCGCGACCCCGTACTCGACGAAATGGCTGCGCGGCCGCCACGGCGGCGCCGCCCTCCTGGCCGGCCGGAACACGCGCCCCGCGACGGCGGCCGCGTCGGGGCCGGATAGCCGCACGATCCCCACCGCCGCGGGGCCGCCGCCGAGGGAGGTGACGATGGCGGCGATGGTCCCGGGGCCCGCTCCGCCTCCGCCGCCGCCATAGTCCGGCGGCGGCTGGACGGAGCCGCGGGTGGAGGGGGAGGGGGAGCGGTCGTCGGCGGGGAGGAGGTGGGAGTGGCGGGAGAAGAGGGCCTCGGCGCGCGTGGTGAGGGTTCTGGGGCTAGGGTTTAGGACGACGCGGCGGCGGCGGTGGAGGAGGGGTGGGAGTGGGAGAGGGCGGCATAGGAAGAGGGGCGGGAGGAGGAGGCGAGAGAGAGCGCGAGCCATTGGATTGGGATAAACCGCGAGTCGCCGGAGATATTGGAACGGAGAATAGTTGGGAAGATTTTGCTCTGCTTATTAGAGAAGGATAATAATGGAGCTCACTTTCTACTATTAGCCAATTTTAAAGCTATAAGGTTGGCTACAATTTTCTTCTCATCTCTCTATCTCTCACTTATATATTAATTGTATTTGTCTTGGAGCTTGTATTAAGTTAGCTCTTGCATGAGAGCCAACACCCTTAACTTTTTGTTACATCTCTCCTCCACGTAAGTATAGACTTATAGCTCACTATTATACTTGCTCTTATGGCGCCGCGATGGTTCTTTTGTGGACCGTTGGTTTGCAAACCTAGGATGCCGATTATACTCTATTTGCTTTGGGCATATTTAGATTAGGTACAATAGCGCTATTAAGCCGGCTCCAAAACTTATTAATCAGCTTAATCTGATATTAAGGAAAAAATTGCAGAGAAAAAAACAAGCGGGCGCTTGCACAACGGCCCAAACCGTAACGCTCGTGTGCAGTAAGAAGAGACGATAAAAAATGCGTTTATGTGGGTCCCACATAGATCCCTATCTGATATATCCATATAAGTATTTAATGTATGTATGTTTTAGCTAACTTGTAGTTAGCTTGTTGTATGAGTTGGCTTTTAAGTTAGGTTTGCTTGAGAGCAAGTTTAATAGCATAGCTCACTACTAGCTCCAAATCATTTATAGCCAATATAATAGCCAATTCATACAATAGTTGTTTGCTATACTATTAATATCTGATTCCGCCTGTCATACACACATTACGTTTTGGAGTCTGTGTTGCAGCTGACTACAGATCTGTAGCCCGCTGCTCTTCTCTCTCTTCGTTTATATCTTTAAAATATGTTTATAGCTGGCTTATAGCCTGCTATTGTACGTGCTCTGACACGACAAAATTTTATAGCTTGCTGCTAATTGCACTATTGACCTTGCTCTTCGATCCGTGTCATTGTTTTAAGAAAAATCTACTGAGTGCACGCACGATAATGTGGGCAGGTAACCATCCCACAACACGTAAAATGGTACTCCCTCCATCTAAAATATAAAAGACTGGTATCCAACCAAAATCCCTTATATTTTGATATGGAGGGAGTAGTAGCTAAACCATTTTTAAAATAGATTAATATATTTGTAAGGCAACTTCGAATTTTTTTAATAAGAAAACACTATTTAATAATTTTTGAAAGCGTGCGTGTGGAAAATAAAGAACTTAAACTTGTGGGGATGTGTACAAACGAACTTAACCTAACTTGTGCCATGTAAGGGTATTCTCGACGTATGTTTCTTAAGTAAAGTAGGACATATAAAACTAGGTTACAACAATAGTTGAATGGAAAAGAAAAAGAGTGAGACATGAGAGCGTTTAATGTTTTTTTTATGATTATTACCATGTAGTAGTGTTATTGTCTGGTATAGTTAGAGCAAGTTTAATAGTATAGCCCACTACCAGCTCCAATTCATTTATAGCCGATCTAATAGCCAATTCATACAATAGTGGCTTACTATATTATTAATATATGGTCTCACCTTTCATACACACATTATGTCTTAAAGTCCTTGCTACAGCTGGCTACATATCTATATCCCGCTACTCATCTCTCTCATCTTTTATCTCATTAAAATATGTTTATAGCTGGTTAATAGTCTACTATTGTACCTACTCTTATTACCTATTCTACTACCCATCTCCATAAATAGTAAAATAGGTAGTGAGGAGTCTTATTACCTACTTTAAATGGTAAAGTAGGTGGTATTACCCTCCTTTTATTCATACTGTGGATGCCCTTAAGAGATGCCAAATAATTTGGCACTCGGTTCAAGCTAAATGAGTATCAAGATTTTTAGATTTTTAGTATTGTCAATACTCCGGTTCTTTTGTAGGTTGTGCTCTATACAAACACTTTCTTAAATTTTACTTTCTCATTTTTCACATACATGTTTCCGAACCTGCTAAATTGTGTATTTTTATAAAAATATTTTCTATCAAAAAATTGTTTAAAAAAGTCATATTAATATTTTAAGTTTTTAAACTAATACTTAATTAATGATGCACTAATTCATGCTCCGTTTTGCGTGTCGAAAAGGAAACGCTCCCAATCTCCTCTTCTGAACTCAGCCCAAGGCCTCCTCAGTTTGGAACTGAGGGGATTGTATAGGATCGAGGAGAAATAAATCTAAATAATGATAGACATGAAATAAATTATCTCTAATCCCTTTCTACTGGGATTAACCGAATGTAAGTTCTAAATGAGTACTCCCTTCATTATAATTTACTTGTGGTTCATATATCTAAAATTTTTATATTGTTCTCACATAATATTCCAAAGTATTTTTAAAGGTGTATTTATCCTTTTCTACGATTCTATATTCTAAAGCATTTGATGTATTTCTCCTTCTACAAATCATTAGTACAACCAGTACTTAGAGCAAGTTTAATAGTATAGCCCACTACTAGCTCCAATTCATCTATAGCTGATCTAATAGCCAATTCATACAATAGTTGCTTACTATACTATTAATATATGGTCCCACCTATCATACACACATTATATCTTGGAGTCCGCGCTGCAGCTGGCTACAAATCTGTAACCCATTGCTTTTCTCTCTGATCTTTTATCTCATTAAAATATGTTTACAGCTGGCTAATAGCCTGGTATTGTACCGCTCTTAGTAGCACTTCTCACAAAGAATTTTAGTATTGCTTTGGAAAATGGTGACTAGAATTTTAGTGCTTACACATACAGATACTGACTTGAGTTAGAGCAAGTTTAATAGTATAGCCAACTATTAGCTCCAAATTATCTATAGCTAATGTAATAGCTAATTCATACAATAGTTGCTTACTATAATATTAATATCTGGTCCTACCTGTTATACACACATAACGTTTTAGAGTCCGTGCTGCAGCTGGCTACAAATCTGTAGCCCGCTGCTTTTCTCTCTCTCCCTTTATTTCTTTAAAATATGTTTATAGCTGGCTTATAGCCTGCTATTGTACCTGCTCTTATAGAGTATAGTAGTTTTTCACGAAGTACTCCTTCCTCCATAAATAAGTAATCCCCTTATCCCAATTTGATTATCCTGAAACATCCATCATTCTGAAATTAATTCTCATTGACTAAGTGTTCCATCTCTTCGTGTCTAACGAAAATTTATTCACACTTTAAATATTGCATGGGTTGAATCAATATAAATTAATCTTGATTGGTTGTATGCATGCAGGTCATTTCATGATGCATATTTACTCTTTACACAAATAAATAATATTTTTATTAGATAATAATATTTTGGAAAAATCTCAAAAATCTTAGGTGATGATTAAATTGTGATAGAGGGAGAACAATTTTAGCATATAGATTTATCCCCATGTAAGTATATAATAGAGTGATCCATTAGAACTCTTTAATACTATTTTTTTAATTTCTTCTCGTTTTTACTATCTCTGTTCCATTTTAAGTGCAGCCATGATTTTCCACGCCCCAACTTTAATCGTTCGTCTTATTTGAAAAAAATTTTGAAAAGAAAATAAAACATAAGTTATTCATGTTTTATCATGTCATAAAAAAAATACTAATTATAAAAAAAATTTAAATAAGACGGACGATCAAAGTTAGGTGCGGAAACATATAGTTGCAGTTAAAATGGGACGGGGGAGTAGCTGTCAAAGCAACACTGATTTCTCCTCTTGTTTTTTCGTCTACCTTACTTTTCTCTCCGTATTAAATGAATAACATAATTAGTCTTTTAATTTATTCATGGATATATTTAAACTACACTTATTTAGAAACATACTACAATTTTTTAGAAATGATGTACTCTGATTCTTGACGTTTTAAACATGTTCGTGGCTAATAACTTTAAAAATATTTATTTTATAAATATATTTGAGCAACCTATATATTTATCTTTGAAAGCAATATAATAAAAACAAAAATTTATTAATTGATTGTGTATATATTACAATAGAGAAACACAATCACAAATACTATTTTAGAGATCGTATCATTACTTAAAACATCATGAATTATGATACGGGAGGATATTACTAATATACATGATCATTTCTAAGTACATACTCCAATACATGCGGTACTATTTATTCAACATTCCAACCCATCGATCTACGATAAATTATGCCAGAAAACGATGGGATACTGTAAGCCAGCCACCCCGGCCCCTCGATCCCACTCCACGCATGAATGCTTCACAATTACTCCACTACTCTTGAGATGGTTCATCTTCCGAGAGCTTAGCCAAGTGTGTGTATACATGCCGTATGCGTGAACATCCCTAGTTACGAAGAGAGTTCTCTAGCTCGGGAAGCATTCAGCATCTCCTTTCTCTTCCGATGGCCACCGCCGCCTCAACTGCGTCTTCCACCACCAGCCCACCGCACACCACCACCATGTCCACTCACTCCACTGAGCTTGTCAAGGGCTCGCATGAGTTCACCGTCGCCGGCTACAGCCTGCAGAAGAGGAACGGCACCGGACACTTCGTCAGGTCCGGCTCATTCGAGGTCGGTGGATACAGCTGGGCGATCCGATTCTACCCTGCTGGCAGCACAAAGGAAGAAGAAAGACACGTGTCCGTGTTCCTCGAGCTGGGAAGCACTGTGGTAGAGAAAGTTACCGCAAGGTTCAGATTCCGCGTCAATGGCGCTACCGCGAGCTCGTGGGGCCAGTTTAACGACTTCACACTTAGCAGCAAAACATGGGGGTACCAGAAATTTATGGAGATAGAAACCGTGGAGTCGGAGTACCTGATCAACGACTGCCTGACGATGCACTGCGACGTGGAGGTTGTCAAGGAGTTGAAGACCGGAGCAACCATGAGCCGCTTCATCACGGTGCCGCCGCCAGCCATCTGCTGTCATCTCGAGCAGCTTCTGGAGAGCAAGGAAGGCTGCGACGTGACCTTTCAGGTCGAGCGCAGCGACTACGACGCGCACAGGGTGGTGCTCTCGGCGCGGTCGCCGGTGTTCCGCGCCCAGTTCTTCGGCCCAATGGCGGACACCGGCGGCGGAGACAGGTACGTGCGCATCCTTGACATGAAACCGACGGTCTTCGAGGCCGTGCTCCGGTTCATCTACACGGACAGGTTGCCGCCCGTCGAGGACGGCGAAGCTGCCGCCAGCAGCTGCTGGAGGGAAGACGTCAGAGAGATGGCCCGCAGCTGAAGGCGGTGTGCATGGAGTACGTCGCGTCGCCTGGCATGCTGGCAACTGTGGTGGCGACCGACGGGTTCAGGGAGCTCAAGGCTTCATGTCCCTCGCTGCTCGCCGAGGTGCTGGAGAAACTTGGAAGCTACCCTGGATGCCTGGAGCTTTTCGATGAAGATGATGATGATGTGTTATCATCGGAGCAGTAAAATTTTAGCCTTCGAACAGTGCTAGTGTTCAATCATTTCTTGATCTCCAATGTAACTGGTTTCTTCCTACAATGTTTTCGATCGTACTACTCCGTGTATTCCAAGCACAAGCAGTATCTGATCTTATTTCCTTTTACTACTAGCTAAGGAGAATAATATTGCTGATATTCCCCAAATTTCTCTTTTGGAGAATGAAGCTTTAACTTAGGAGTTTATTGAAAAAGTAATTAAGGAGGCCATTTTCTAAATAGAACACAACAAAGCACCGGGTTCTGATGGATTTCCTGCTAAGTTTTATCATGTTTTTTTAAGAATGTTATTAAAGTTGACTTGTTAGAACTTTTTAAAGATTTTCATAGTGGGTGTTTGCCTTTATCTTCTTTGAACTATGGTACCATTATTCTTTTGCCCAAGTGCGTAGAGGCAATGAAAATTCAACAATATAGGCCTGTACTTAATGTTGTACTTAATGTTAGTTTTAAGATTTTTACTAAAGTTGCTACTAATAGAATTATGAGTGTTGCTCAAAAGGCCTACTCAAACTGTTTTTATTCCTGGGAGGAACATTATAGGAGTGGTTATTCTACATGAGACGTTGTATGAATTACATCGTAAAGGTAAAAGCGGGGTAATCTTTAAGATTGATTTTGAAAAAGCTAATGATAAAGTTAAATTGTCTTTTGTTCAACAGACGTTGAGGATGAAGGGCTTCTCTCCTAAATGGTGTTAGTGGATAGATTCTTTTATTCAAGGTGATTATGTTGGTATAAAAGTTAATGGTAACAATTTTCGAACTTACAAAGGTCTTAGGCAAGGGGTTCCTTTATCTCCAATCCTTTTTAATATAGTAGATAATATGCTTGCTAATTAAGAGGGATAAAGAGGCGGGTCTCTTGAAAGGGGTAATTCCTCATTAGTAGATGATGGTTTGTCTATTTTTGCAATATGCAGATGATACCACCATCTTTTTGGAGCATGATTTGCAACATGCAAAGAATCTAAAATTGATTTTATCTGTATTTGAAAAGTTATCTGGCTTAAAAATCAATTTTCACAAAAGTGAATTATTTTTGTTTTGGCTAGGCAAATGAGTGTTATGATCAATATTCTAATATCTTTGGTTGTAAATTGGGCTCTTTTCCTGTTAAATATCTAGGAATTCCAATGCATTTTAGGAAGCATTCTAATAAATATTGGAAAGTTATTGAAGAAAGAATTGAGAAAAAACTTAGTAGTTGGAAAGGTAAGCATCTGTCTGTTGGAGGTAGATTGGTTTCGATTAATTCTGTACTCTCGAGTTTAGCTATGTTTATGATATCTTTCTTTGAAATACCAAAAGGGGTTCTTCAAAAAATAGATTATTATAGATCACGGTTCTTTTGGCAAGGGGATGATCATAAGAAAAAATACATGCTCAGTAGATAGGATATTACTCCCTCCGTCCCAAAATGTAAGCATTTCTAGCTATGAATCTGGAGATTCATAGCTAAAAGTTGTTATATTTTGGGACGAAGATAGTATTTGTCAACTCAAGGCCCAGGAGGGTTTTGGGTTACATAATTTGGAAAAACAAAATAAATGTCTTTTGAGTAAGTGGTTGTATAAGTTAATAAATAAGGAAGGGGTTTGGCGAGACTTATTGAAGAGGAAGTATCTTTTATAATAAGTTTATAACCCAAGTTGACAAGAAATAAGGTGACTCCCATTTTTAGTATGGGCTCATGAAAGTCAAGAGTACATACTTAGATTTGGGTTTTTGGATTGGAACAAATAAGATTTTGGGAAGATAAATGGCTAGGCAAATTGGCCCTCATAGATATCCATCTATATATGCTATTGTCCGAAGGAAATTGTCTTCTATTGCCACTGACATATGATCCGTTCCGCTTAATGTTTCTTTCAGAAGAGGTTTAGTTGGTCAGAATCTTGTATATTGGCATGAATTGTGTATTTGTATGGTACATATCTAGTTGAATCTTTCTTCTGATTGTTTTAGATAGAATTATCATCACAATGGTAGGTTCTCGGTAAGATCAATATACCTAGCTTTGATTAATAATGGTTATATTGAGAGGAATAAGTGTATTTGGAAGCTTAAGATGGCGCTTAAGATTAAGATATTTATGTGGTACTTGCTTAAAGGGGTTGTGTTAACCAAGGACAATTTGGTTGGACGGAATTGGAATGGCAGCTTGAGGTGCTGATTTTGTATGAAGAATGAGTCTATTCAACATCTCTTTATGGATTGTCATTATGCAAAGTTCATATGGATTATAGTTCAGTTTTCTTTTCGTTTTAACCTCCCTATTAGTATATCTCATATTTTTAATGAGTGGCTTTTGGGGTTTGACAAGAAAAAGAGTAAATTAATACTTGTTGGAACTTCTGCCATTTGTTGGACTCTATGGTTGAGTACAAATGATATGATTTTTGACAAATCACTATCTATTTCCTACATGCAGGTAATTTTCAGGGCAACTCACTGGCTTCGGTTTTGGGCACAATTACAAAGGTGTGATGAGGATGAAGAGTTTTTGAAAGTTGCATGCCACAAGATGGAGATGACGGTAATGCAATTTTTTTGCCAACTACGGATGGAGATTAACAAAAAGCCTTGAATAAATGTTTTCTCCTTATTTTGGCTTGGTTTCCTCTCTCTTTTTTTTTGGTGTGTTCTACTTTATTTGAACTACACTCTTTTACTCTTTTCTGAAGTGCTACTTTCTAATAATTGCCTATAGCTTTTCTTGAGCAAAGGCCGGGATGTTATATTCTATTATCAAAAAAACTAGCTATGGTCAAATTATATGAACTATTTGGTATCAGTGATGATATAATTTTAGTTTCATTGCATGTTACTGTTAGTGAATTTATTAGTTTAGACATTATCGTGAGCTTAGTTATATATGATCACCTAAATAACTTTATGCGGAATTAAGGTGGCACTACTAGAAAAAGTGTTTTTTCTGGCAGCCAAAACTAATTTTTGCTGGTGGTACTTCCAACTGCCAGCGAGTAAACGCCAGTGAAAATGAATGATTTTCGCTGGCGGTTTTGATCCGCTTGCGAAAATCGTGGTACTAGGGGTGGAAACGAGCCAAGCCAAGCCTCTTGCAGTGGCTCGCAACAAGCTAGGCTTGGCTTGGCTTGTCTCAGTTAGGGAAACAAGCTAAAACTTGAGCTCGGCTCGGCTTGTTTCTTGGCTCGAGCTTGCAAGCCTTCATGTTGAAACACCTCTTCGTATATATTTTGTGATTATTAAAAAACAAGAACAAATCATCAACATGTAAAATTTAAAAATATATATATATATATATATTCAATTCTTCAAAATCTTAACGATAAATTTTCAAGTTGACAAATAATAACGCTATAAAAGGTAAAATAATCAATATAAACAAATGATGGCCTAGGCTCGTGAGCCAAAACAATCGGCTCGCGAGCTAGCTCGGCTCAGCTCATTTCAGCCATGAGCTGAAAATGAGGCTTGGGCTTGGCTCATTTGGCTTACGAGCTAAGCCAAGCCAAGCCAACCAAGCTCGAACCAAGCCCGAGCTGAGCTCACGAGCCCGAGCTTTTTTTCCACCCCTAGGCGGTACCATTAAGAACACCACTTGTGATAACTTTTTTTTTAAAAAAAAACACATTCAGAGCCATTGCTTCATTTTCAAAATTCAAATCCAGATCTAGATTCAAATCCAATCCACATTCAAATTGGCATCCAACATCACTACATCAACTTCTCACTGCATTTTCAGCATGCAAACATCTACGTTGTCTATCGTCATTGCTAGTGACATTGGAGGTTGCCGAAGCCACCGTGGACGAGCTATTCTCATCGAAGCCACACGCCGCCGTCTCCTCCCATCCCGCCGCCGCTCCCTCTGATGCACCACCGCTGCCCTTCCCATCCGGATCTGAGAGAGGAAGGGGAGGGGAAGGCACGGACACCGCCGTTGGACTCCTCCCATCCCACGGCCGCTCCCACTGACGCGTGACCGCCACAGGCCTCCCATCCAGATCTGAGAGAGGGAGGGGAGGGGAAGGCAGGGACGCCGCCGCCGCACCACCGCCGTCGGACTCCTCCCATCCCGCCGCCGCTCCTTCTGACGCTCCACCACTGCAGGCCTCCCATCCGGATCTAAGAGAGGGAGGGGAGGGGAAGACACCCTCGCCGCTCCCTCTGCCGCGCCACCACCTCTGGCTTCCTCCCATACGGATCTGAGAGATGGAGGGGAGGGAAAGCAGGGACGCCGCTGTTGGTTCCTCTACCGCGCCAACGCTGTCGCCGTCTCCATCGCCAACGTCGTCGCTGTGTGTAGGGAGAGGAGGAGAGAGGAGCGTGGGGAGAGGAGGGAGGAGTGTCCTGAAGAAGAGAAGTGAAGATGTTGAGAAGAGAAGACTAGAAGAGGCGTGACACTATTAAATTGGGCATGATTTGTTTTGCATCGGTCTTTTTAGCCTCCACCCGTGCAAATGGATTTTTGTTGGCTGCCGCTTAAGAGGTCCGCCAGCAAAAATAGGGTTATTTTTGCAAGCGGACTTCTTAAGTAACCGCCAGCGAAAAGCGGCCCACGTAAGCAACCGCTAGTGAAAATAGATTTTCGCTGGTGGTCCTAAACCCTCCAGCACTCGTTAGAATTTTACAAGCAGATTTCTTATATGACTGCGAGCGAAAAGAATAGTATACCACCATGAAAAACCATTTTTCTAGTAGTGTGGTGAACTGACCGGATATATTGAAGAATCTATGGATGCCACTGCAGTCACTTTGTCAATGCGGATGTAGGCATTGGTGACATAGCAGTTGAGAGATGGCGTGAGGAAGTCCTCGGTGGAGTACATCGTTGAGTCGGTGAAGTAGCGAATGTCGGTGATGCCTATCATAAGCGACCTTACCCTGCAACCTTGAAACGCCGGTGAATGAGTTCACAGTTTGACCTCCCCCTGCATCCTTCCCCTGCCACAGTTTGACCTTTGGTCTCCCTTTAGCGCTCACGATTATGATCATTAGGAACGGGAACCACATCAAGGGAGAGGGATATATATCTTGCACAAGGCTTAGATAGCCCTCTTACCTAGTGCTATGGGAGTCAGGGCCGATTCCATTGGAATTTAGTGCGAGTGATCCGATCGACGCGCGTGTCGTACACACGAGTCCGTAGATTAGCATCTTTTCTATTAGGGAGAGCGTTGAACTCGGGTGGGCCGTGCTGCATGCCTTCATATGGCTCGATAGCTAGAGATCAAAACATAACATTTTCTCACTTGATCTTTAAGGCTAATGTGCCAAGTTTTAGCAAAGGTGTTCGCAACTGGCTTGACAAGTTATATGTGCAAGTGTTGGTCTTCGCGGAGGAAACTGGAGTAAGAAATAAAGAAGGAAAAACAGGGGAAAGGTTACTACAGTCTATACTACGCTTACTTAACTTCTATTTTTTTATTTTCACATGCATACTTCCAAAACTGCTAATGGTATGTTTTTTAAAAAAATATATAAAAAAGATGTTTAAAAAAATCATATTAATCTATTTTTTGAGTTTATAGACTAATACTTAATTAATTATGCACTAATTTACATATTGTTTTACGTGTCGAAGGGGTGGGCTCCCAATCTCCCCTTCCGAACTCAACCTAAGGCCTTACTCGGTTTGGAGGGGATTAAATGAGATTGAAGAAAAATAATTCTAAATCACAATAGATGTGGAATAAATTATCTCCAATCCTTCTCCCTTGTGGATTAACTGAATATAGATCTAAATGAGTACTTCCTTCGTTATAATTTACTTGTGGTTCAGATATTTAATATTTTTATGTTGTTCTCACGTAATATTCCAAAGCCTTTGTCCGTAAATGAGTATAGTTTTAGCTTATAGATTTATCCCTAAATAAGCACAACAGTGATCCACTATAACTCTTCAATACTATTTTCTTTATTTCTTTTCGTTTTTACCTATCAAAACAACACTAATTTCTCCTGTAGTTTTTTTCGTTCCCCTTGTTTTCTCTCTGTATTACTCCCTATGTCCTTATAAGGCTTATAATCCTTTTACACGGTCCTCAATGGTATACTTTTACAATTAATTTAATTTATATTATGTTATCAACAACTATAATATTACATAATTTTTTTAAAAATCGATATAAATCTAGTGATAAAACATGCATAATACTTAACAATATCTACATAGATATTGTTATTACAATCATTATTTTTTAAAAAAACAAGGATATCATATAATTTGGGATGGAGGAAGTAATAAATACTCCTTGATATGTTTTTACTAGCTTAAACTAAACTTAGAAACGGAGGGAGTACTCTGGTTTTATAATTCTTTGACATTTTAGACAAACTTAAGATCAATAACTTTGACTGTCAATAATTTCAAAAATATTTATTTTAAAGGCATTATAACAACATATATCATTATAAGCAATATAATAAAATAAAAAATTGATTAATTTATTGTATATACTTTCTCCGTCCCAAAATGTTGCTATTTAGGATGGGTCAAGATAACGAATCTGGACAGATGTAGTATCTATCTATTATATACTAAAAGTCCATTAAACTTTCTACAAACGCTCTCAAGCCGCCACGTGGGATTCCTACAAACGCTCCTAAACCACCACGTGCGCTCTAATAAATTTTGAGAAAAAAGAAAAATATCTAACCGTTTATTTTTATTTAAAACTGTGGGCCCGATAATACTAACTATTAGATTAAGTCCACCGATCCAATCACCCTTTTCTCTTGGACCCACATGTACGTATAATAGGTTCGTACCACCACATCTGTATTCTCTTTCTTTTTAAGGTTATATGCACCATAAGTTTTTGAGAAAAAATAATGTAACAATTTATTTTTATTTAAAACTGTGGGCCCGATAATACTAACCATTAGATTAAGTCCACCGATCCTATCACCCTTTTCTCTTGGACCCACGGGTACGTATAATAAGTTCGTACCACCACATCTGCTCCTCCCCTATGTATTCTCTTTCTTAAAAATGCACCATAATTTGTTACTATAAAAATTATTAGATCTATTTTTAAGTGGAACATTAATTTATATATGAATGATCTTGGTGTCATAAATAAATAATTACTTTTTAAGCCAATCTAGATATTCAATTTAAGACAAGCTTAATCGAAGCCATCCATGATAAATCATTTGTGATAGGTCTCATACTAACGAACGGATCAAAACGTAGCATGTTTGATATATGTTTGTAGGGATAATCCATCAAAGAAGTAAGATTATCTATGACAGGCGTAGTTTTGACGAATTACGCATATGAACTAACTGATGATAAGTCTTCGCTTTCCTCACTACCTCTCTCAGTTTTCTAGCTAATGAGATAAAAAAAGTCAATAATTAGATGGCTAAATATTTTTTAACATATTTGATTTTTAGTTTGATCCATATTGACCATGTGTTTGGTATGTAAGATTATATACTAAAAGTAAAATTCCTACCAACGCTTCTCAGCTGCCACGTGTACCCTATAAATGCTCTTAAGCCACCGTGTGGTACTCTGGTAGATTAGAGAAATTCTTAAAAATTCTAAGAAAAAAACAAAACATCTAACCATTGATTTTTCATTTAATCCGGTGGACCCAATATTTTTAACCATTAGATCAATCTCTAAAAGACAAGTGCGGGGGCCATGGTCGAAGAGCGAGACGTGGGGCCTCTTCTGCTCTGCGCACCACATGGGCAACTACCGAATGGGCGCCACGGCGGGCAACGGCGCCGTCGACGCCTGCGGCGAGAGGTGGGAGGCGGGGCGGTTGTACGTGTGCAACAGTAGCATGCTACCCACTGCGGTGGGCGTCAACCCCATGATCACCATATAGTTCGTGCACAACTGCACGTATTGCGTCGCCAATGTCATCGCTAACTCCCTGTCCAATAAAACGAATTTGGGTATGTTTGGATCATTATATTAGTCCCTGGTAGAAGATTGAGAGGGGAAATACCTCACTTTAATAATTCAATTTAGAAGGGAAATACCATCCCTTTAAATAAGAAGGGAAATACCTCACTTTAATTTAAATGCATTTTGTTAGACATGTTTTTGAAACGAAATAACAAGTATGCCCGCGCATTCGCTACCTTCCTAGTTATAATAAAAACCAAATTGTTATCAAGAGCATCATGAATTATGAAACCGGGGAGTATGTGCATGAGCATTTCCTCAAGTGCATAATGCATGCGCGCGGTACTATTTATTCAACATTTCAACTCGTCGATCTACGATAAACTATGCCAGAAAACGATGCGACACCGTTGGGTGGCCACCCTGGCCCGTCGATCGCATTCCACGCATAAATGCTTCGCGATTACTCATCTTCCGAGAGTATATACTACTAGTATGCTGTATCCGTGGACATCACCAGTAGCTCGGGAAGCACTCTGCATGCATATCCTTTCTCTTCCAATGGCCGCAGCCGCCGCCTCAACTGTGCCCCAGTCGTCTTCCACCAGCAGCACACCGCAAAACACCATCTCCACTCACTCCACTGAGCTTGTCAGGGGCTCGCATGAGTTCACCGTCGCCGGCTACAGCCTACAGAAGAGGAAGGGCGCCGGGCACTCCATCAGGTCCGGCTCATTCGAGGTCGGTGGATACAGCTGGGCGATCCGATTCTACCCTGCTGGCAGCACGAAGGAAGAAGAAAGACACGTGTCCGTGTACCTCGAGCTGCGAAGCACTGTGGTAGAGAAAGTTACCGCGAGGTTCAGTTTCCACGTCCATGGCGCTAGCGCGAGCTCGTTGCATATGCGCGGTAGTTTTGACGACTACACGCCTACCAGCAAATCATGGGGGTACCCGAAATTTATGGAGATAGAAACCGTGGAGTCGGAGTACCTGATCAACGACTGCCTGACGTTGCTCTGCGACGTGGAGGTTGTCAAGACGGTGAAGACCGGAGCAACCATTAGCTGCTTCATCACGGTTCCGCCGCCGGCCATCTGCCGTGATCTCGAGCTGCTGGTGGGGAGCAAGGAGGGCTCCGACGTGACGCTCCAGTTGGAGCAGAGCGAGTACGACGCTCACAGAGCGGTTCTCGCGGCGCGGTCTCCGGTGTTCAGCGCTCAGTTCTTCGGCCCAATGGCGGACGAGGACGCCGCCGCCGCCGGCAGCCGGAGGAACGTGCGGATCCACGACATCAAACCGGCGGTGTTCGAGGCCGTGCTCCACTTTGTCTACACCGACACGTTGCCGCCGGCCACCACGAGCTGGTCCGCGAGCCACCGCGACAAGCGTCCTAAGCTCAGCGACGTCGCGGCCGCCAGCTGCTCGGAAGAAGAGGTGAGAGTGATGATCGGAGAGCGGCTCGCGGCGGCCGACAGATTTGACCTGGAGAGGATGAGGCTGCTGTGCGAGGACGCGCTGTGGGAGACCATCGACGTGGCGAACGCGGCGGCGACGCTGCGGCTGGCTGACCGGCACCATTGCCCGCAGCTCAAGGAGCTCTGCATGGAGTACATCGCCTCGGCTGGGGTGTTGGCGGCCGTGATGACAACCGAGGGGTTCAGGGAGCTCAAGCTGGACTGCCCCTCACTTCTGATCGAGATCCTGGAGAACTTTGGAAAACGCAGCGAGGCCGATGAGGAATAATACAATATTATTTCTGTATTATCATTGGACAAGTAATTTAGTTTTCGAACAATGATCTTGGAATGAAAAGTGGCACGTACTGTGCAATCATTTTTTAATCCCTTGTATCTGGCTTGTAGTAAGAGCAAGTTTAATAATATTATAACCGATTGGGGGCACGTTTTAGTCGTCGTTTTCCCTCTTGGCCGCCCCTCTACCTCGGTTGGGCTATCGGGTAAAAACCTCGTCTTGATTCTCCTTAAGACCTTGACGGATGGGGACGTTGGTTTTATCGGCATTTTTCTCCCCTGGAGAAGTTGTCTAGGAAGCCTCCCTGCCAAAATTTCTCTCGAACAGCTGGTGCATGCTCACTGTAGACGGATATCCTCTTGCGGTGGCATCCTAGTCAATGCAAGCTGGCCATGTCTCTCACCCTCTGCCAAAACTTCTCTCGAACAGCTGGTGCATGCTCACTATAGACGGATATCCTCTTGCGGTGGCACCCTAGTCAATGCAAGCTAGCCATGTCTCTCACCCTCTCCCCTCCAACCACAAGGGCGTGAATAGAGATGAGCGCGGTGCCCATTGTTGGGGTTTGGCTTTGTGAAAGTGCATCTAGGACCCCTTATTTATTTTGGTGTTAATGACAACACAATTAGAGGGTAACTAATGCTTTTTGTTGAGATGTATGCAAGGATGAAAAAGGAGTGGATGTCAACACAATAAGTATTGCGGCATCTTTTGTGGTAATTGTCTTCTAATCCATGTATATCTTGTGTTCTTGAGTATTATGATGCCGTACTATTAAGAGGGATGCCACATGCATATAATTGGTAGAACACTAGTGCTCAAAATCATTTATTTGAAGTGTTCCTGTTTTATGTCTGTCGGACTATCCGATGCTCAGACTATCCGAAATTTCACAGAACTTTGCTCACTGTCTTCGGTCTGAGTGTTGGCTAAAAAATATCGGACTATCCGATATAAGGTCAGACTATCCGATACGTCGGACTATCTGAAATTTCTTAGAACTTCACTCTCTGTTTTGAATTGCTTTTTATTCCTTTTGAGTGAGTTTTAAATCAGACTATCCGATGTGATCGGAGTATCCGATGATCCAGAGACTCCAAAATTCAATGGAACTTGAGTCTATGTGAGAGGATGAAATTCTTGGTTCAAAAATAACAGAATATCCGATATGACATCGGACTTTCCGATCGATCGGATTGTCCGTAATCCTCCAGAATTTCGTTCTCTATCTCTGGCCTGCTTGGGGGTCAAAAACATCGGACTATCCGATGTCACCTCGGACTTTCCGAGGTGGGATGAAAAGATTCTCTCCCAACGGCCACATTTTGGGGGCTTCTATAAATACCCCCCACCTAACCCTTTTCTAGGGTTACCCAACTCATTTCATTCTCATTCACTTTGGGTTAAGCTTGGTGCTAAGGTGCTTTGGATCTTTGAGCTCTTTCTCCCTCTCTCAAATCCCTCCTCGTTCTTTGTGTGGTGGATCTTGGTGGTTGTGGATTTGGTATTTGAGGACCTAGTGTGTGTTTCACTCGATCTTAAGCACTAGGGTTTGACCAAGAGTTGTGTGGTGTTTGTTACTCTTGGAGGTTGAGGACTCCTAGATGGCTAGGTGTCACTCCCGAGCCACCGATCTACGTGTGGTTGGCCGGGAGAAGTTTGTGAAGGCCGGATCTCGCCTCTGCAAGGAAAGAGATACCCCTTAGTGGAAGGAGGAGTGCTTAGTGCAACCTCTTGAGGAAAGGGTTAGCAAAGACCCGGCTCTTAGTGAGCTCCTCAATGGAGAGTAGAATCCCCTCAAGGATTTGAACTCCGGGAACAACTTCGTGAACTTCATCATTGGTGATCTCCCTTCATCCTCCTTTTAGCTTTGCTTAATTGTGCCGCTATAGATCTAGTCGTTGTTTGTGCTTTACTCTTGTTTGTGTGATAGATCTACTTGTTGTGCTTCATTGGTGGATCAGACAGTCTGATCCAACATCAGACTATCTGATATTTTCAGATAGTCTGACTGTGGATCAGACTTTCTGACCTTATTTCAGTTTTAGCTTCTGCATAAAGTTTTAAATTAGCCTATTCACCCCCCTTCTAGGCCTAATTGACCCTTTCACTTTGGATGGCCTGGGTGTTGTTTCTTTGTTGGCCTAGGGGCAGCCGGTCACACTTACCGGCGCTCGGTCTGGTGCTAACCTTCTCTTGGATCTTGTATAGTTGCTGTTGGTGCGTGGTGTGTGGTGGTGGTGTATAGGTGCTGTCAGTGCGTGGTGTGTGGTGGTGGTGCTAACTTTTTCTCGGGTCACGTAAAATGGTACTCCCTCCGTCTATAAACTGCCTATAAAAGAGTGTAGTTTTAGCTAGTCAAATACTAAGTAAGAGATTCAAAAACTATAATGCCCTTAATTAATATGCAGAAAAAAAAGAGGAGGGGAGAAAACAAGGAGGATGGGAAAGAAAAGGATAAAGTTATGTAAAGGAACTAATATAACATTTTAAAATTAAACTCTTTTAGAGATGAAGGAAGTATATTTAATATGTGAACCAGTGGAGCGATGAACCAAAGGCCCAACTAGTTTGATGACCACATTTCGATTTTCCATACTCCAATAGTTAGAGGTAACAAACAATATGCCACTCCATTCATATGAGTTCGATGAAATGCTACTCGCTAGGATGCACAATAAAATGCCACTCAATACGCTGCCTTCCGGTAAAATGCCACTTTGAAGGGTTTTAACCATCTTATATCCAATTCACCCATGTCGGTCAAGAGAAAGGGTAAGGGCCATCACCTCCGCTATGACCACCGGTCCAGCGCTGTCCGCTCACTAAGTTTATACGACCACTAGCAGTAGTGAGCGTTGGTGGTGGAGGCGGTGATGGTGACGTGGCGGCCCGATGGTCATGGAAACCGGTGATGTGGCGGCAGAGCCCGGAGGTCGTGGAAGTTGGCAGGGTGAAAACTTGCTCCTTGGGAGGTCTACACGGGAAGGCCTGCGACGACCACAGCGACAGCTAGAACAGCAAGAGGTGGTGGTGAAGAGACCGCCAAGCTATAGGGGTGACGTACTAAATAGTATTTTATCCTGTGCATTTTAGTCCATTGAAACCACTTACATATATTAGAGCAGGTACAATAGCAAACTATAAGCCAACTATAAACACATGCCGAGGAGATAAAAGAGGAGAGAGAAGAGCAGCGGACTGCAGATTTATAGCCAGCTGCAGCACGAACTCCAAGACACAAAGTATGCATGACTTGTGAGACCATGTATTAATAGTGTAGTACTCCCTCCGTCGCTAAATATTTGACGCCGTTGACTTTTTTAAACATGTTTGACCGTTCGTCTTATTTAAAAAATTTTGTGAAATATGTAAAACTATATGTATACATAAAAGTATATTTAACAATGAATCAAATGATAGAAAAAGAATTAATAATTAATTAAATTTTTTGAATAAGACAAATGGTCAAACATGTTTGAAAAAGTCAATGGCGTCAAATATTTAGAGACGGAGGGAGTATATGTTTATAAATAACTATTGTACGAATTGACTATAGATGATTTGAAGCTACTAAACTTGCTCTTATCCATTTTCTCCTGGTATCCAACCGGATTGGGATCCTCAGACGTGACGTCAGAGGGACGTGGTCGCTGATAGGTGGGCCCGTTTCAGTGACCACGTCAGAGGAACCGCTTCCTATACAACCCTATCGGGTCAAGTCATCTCGATCCAGGTCATAAATTAATTACACGCCGGAATCAATGAGATACCACCGTTAGCCAGGCATGCAGTCAGCCCGGCCCCTCGATCTCAGTCATCACGCATGAATGCTTCGATAATTCAGCCAGCAGAAGAGAATACTATGGTTCAACTTCCCTGAGCTTAGTGTGTGTATATATGCTTTATACGTGGACACCGCTAGCGATGAAAGCTTTTTCCACCTCGACAATGGCCGCCGCCTCAAATGTGCCCCCGTCGTCTTCCACAAGCAGCAGCTCACCACACAACACCACATCCACGCACTCCACTGAGCTGGTCAAGGGTACGCACCGGTTCACCGTCGCCGGATTCAGCCTGCAGAAGAGAAACGGCGCCGGACACTTCGCCAAATCAGGCTCCTTCGATGTCGGCGGGTACAGTTGGGCGGTCATGTTCTACGCTGCCGGCGAGAAGGAGGAAGATCAAGGACATGTGTCCGTGTTCCTCGAGCTGCAAAGCACCGGCGTAGAGAAAGTTACGGTGAAGTACACATTCAACATCAGTGGCAGCTCGTTGCTGTCGGCAGGGTGGGGTGATTTCAAGCCTAGCAGCAAATGTCGTTTGGGGTTCAACAAATTCATGGAGATCGAAACCGTGGAGGATGTGTACCTGATGAACGACTGCGTGACGATTCACTGCGCCGTCGAGGTTGTCAGGGAGAAGAAGGCCAGAGCAACCGTGAGCCGCCGCATCGCGGTGCCGCCGCCGGCCATCTGCCGTCATCTCGAGCAGCTGCTGGAGAGCAAGAAAGGCTCGGACCTTACGGTCCAGGTCGGAGAGAGTAAGTACGACGTGCACAGGGCGGTGCTCGCGGCCCGGTCGCCGGTGTTCCGCGCCCAGTTCTTCGGGCCAATGGCGGCGGCGAACAGGCGCGCCAGCGGCGGCGGCGGCAGGTGCGTGCGCGTCCATGACATGAGACCGGCGGCGTTCGAGGCCGTGCTCCACTTCGTCTACACGGACACGTTGCCGCCGGTTAAGGAGGAAGAGGGCTTCCTGACGAACAACTCCGCGAGCCGCCGCCACCTCGTCAATCTCAGGGACGCGGCCGCCGGATGCTCGAAGGGAGAGGTGAGGGTGATGGTCCGCGAGTGGCTGGCGGCGGCGGACCGGTTCGGCCTGGAGAGGATGCGGCTGCTGTGCGAGGACGCGCTGTGCGAGAGCATAGGCGTGGCGAACGCGGCGGCGACGCTGCGGCTGGCGGACCGGCACCACTGCGCGCTGCTCAGGGCGTTGTGCATGGAGTACATCGCCTCGCCCGGCATGTTGGCGGCCGTGATGGCAACAAAGGGGTTCAAGGAGCTCAAGGTGGCATGTCCCTCTCTTCTCATCGAGATCCTGGAGAAGGTTGGATGCTGCCGTTCGGAATAAACGCCTGAACGATGCTCTCCCTGTTTGTTTACTTTCCTTTGGAGTAATTTTACGATGCTCTCTATTCGTAATCGGAATTGCTATATGTCTGGCGACAGATTTTTGAGTCCCATATCTTGCAGATTGATTTATGTATGTTGGATGGTGTCAAGATTCGTGTTGCATTCATGCCGACTCCATCATAATCGATTTGAGCCGTGTTTTCCAATGCTAATTTGTTTATGATCCCACGCGTACTAATTACATCGTATTTACACTGTAATTATATATGTAATTTTAGTGTATTTACGATGTAAGTCTAAAAATTACATATGTATTTTTAGTGTATTTACGATATAAGTATAAAATCTACTTGAACCCATTTGAGCCCACGTGAGTTTCAGATTATCTACGTGACCCGTTTGTTTGTTGCTTTGTATTTTGTTTGTGTATATTAATGTCATCTGTTAGATGTTCATCCAAAGAGTAAGAAATCTGCATGATAGTAGACTAAAAAAATTCTGTCACAATATATAGGCAGTCCCTCCTTCGTTCTAGTCGTTTAATGCTCGATCCCTACGCGGCCTACGCTATCACCTTGCGTTCCCCATCGAGGACGCCGTCACGGTTGCCTGCTCGCCGCCCCGTTCCGACAATGGCGCCCTACTCCGGCCACTATTTGTTGGCGATCCGTGCCAGACCATTGACGTGGCGAACGCGGCGGGCCGGCGGTGACGCTGCGGCTGGGCGACCGGCGCAATTGCCCGCAGCTCAAGGCCTGCATGGAGTACATCTCCTCGTCTGGCGTGCTGGCCACTGTGTGGCGGCAACCCGTAAGCTGCAGCTAGGAACAAACGGTACTTGAATCTCCAACCATTTTTTTAAACTATCATTTTCTCCGTACAACATTGAAATGTTTATGAATTTTTTTTGAAGATCTAAGACATGTTTTTATGTGTAAGGGCATGTTGTTTAGTGGTTACAGTGACCTGAGTAGCACTTTAAGGTCCTGAGTTCAAATTTCCATATGAGCCAATTTTTGATTGGACTGTTTACGGGACTAAGTTTCCAATTTAAATGGCTGCATGTATCTGGATGGATGTAGAGGCCGGGTAAAAATTACCCTTCTCTAACAAAAATGCATGTGCGGCTATGGGGCAGCGAATGCCGCTTCCTGGTGAGACTCGCACGGCACAGTGGAGGTTCTCAATTTAGATTGGGTTGTTTTACGGGGCTAAGTTTCCAATTTAAATGATTGCATGTACCCGGTTAGATGTAGAGGCCAAGTAAAAATATCCTTCTCTTAAAAAAAATACCCGTGCGGCTACAGGACAACGATGCCGCTTCCCGGTGAGATTCGCACGACACGGTGGAGGTCCCCCAGTGGTTTAGGGCTCATAATCCGGTAAGTTACCCAAATTAAAAAGCTTACTGGTTTGATTTGGGAAATTAGGGTTTTCTCGATTTTGGAGATTTTGAGAAATTTCAATCTAGTTTATTCCGTCTTCCCTAATTCCTTTACTTCTTCTACTGCTAGCTGAGCTTAATTGATGACAGTCTTAGTTAGCATAGTAGAACGACGTAGAACGACGATAAACCTTAACTGAAAATAATTTGCATTATGCCGAACGAGTTAAATGGGGATTTTCGATATGACTTGACCAATCCTCCCCTCTAATTTCTAACCAAAACCTTATTAAGCAAAATTTGTTGAACATGTAAACAAATTAAACACGAACAAAATTAAATCAGCCCTAGTATTAAACTTATTGACTTCAATTGATAATGGTTTTCATCAAGCCGTAGAATAATGAATTTAATTGAGGGCTAAATGGTTTCTGTCATGGTTACGGTTAAGGCATACCTAATATTTTATGACTTACGGAATATACAAGACTGGCATACCATATGATATATTTCCATATGATATATTTCCATATGCGGTAAGGAAGTATACAAGATATTATGGAAAGTATCCTCACAGGCTGGTGATTAACAGAGTCCTAATCGGAGAGAATTGGGTTGATTCTATATCGTGCAGGGTTCATTGTCTCCAAGATCTATTGGAGACTAAGGCAACACATGATATAAAAGGCACACCTCCCGGGGGGGGGGGGGTTTCAGATCATCGAACTATAGTGCTAGCACACCCACCATAGGTTACGCACGTACGTAGCATTTTTATTACCATCGCACCTACGAAGCGGTTCATGACCTCCTCTCCAGTTTGTCAACTCCAATATTGCCCTCCACGCCGAGACCGACCGCCTCCACTTTCATGCCAGTGCCCCTAGACCTCGTCCTCCTCAGCCTCGCCGTCTCCCTTTCCTTTTTCTCACACATAACAAACTACACCTGGCTCCATCCTTGTAGACCTTAGTGATTCCGATGACCCCCATGCCCTCACTAGCCTCCACACTCTCTCATGCTCAAAACGGTGTAGGAAGAGAGAAAGATGATAGGGGATATCGTTGGCGTTGGTGATGATGATCGAGGAGTCGAGGGAGGGAGGAGGAGGAGGACATGGATTGGTCCTCCAGCTATTGGGCTGGAGAAGTTGATGGAGGGAGGAGGACGGAGCCATGCTCAGTAGAAAAGAAAAATACATAAGTGAGGGAAGAAGCGGATCCGGGAGAAGATAGATATGAGGATAACATTTTTTTTATCCTGTCTCCGACGGGATCCCATGTTCTAGTTTTTTCTATATATGTTTTTAGATTTAGTTGCACAAAACTCTAGGCATTGTGATTCAGGATGCACAAAACCATTGGGATTTTGGCATGTGGTACTAGTATTTTACAAAGGAAAAAGTCCATATACCCTCTAAACTTTGGATGTAAGCCCATTTAGCACCATAAACCTTTTAACCGGACATCAAACCCCCTAAACTTTTTAATACCGTTTGTATTACACCCAAATTGATTTTGAACGGTGGTTTTGCACATTTGGACGCTTGGTTTCAAATAACTAATATAGCATATTTACATATCATCAATCGTGGGTCCTCAATTTATGATCTTAATGATGTCATACTACTTGTATTACATTGGTATTCGTTTGTAAGTGAGAGAGAACATGGGGGTAAAAAGAAATATTTAAGTGCAGGTCTTATTGTATATATATCTAATGCGTATGCCTCGTAGTCAACACATCTAATGTTTACACAAATTAGATAAAAACCACAATGCAAAACCACCTTAGAGGTTATTTGAATGGTATTGTGAAGTTTAGGGGATTAGATGTCTAGTTTCAAAGTTCAGGGTATCGGATGGACTTCGAATCAAAGTTTATAGGGTTATCTGGACTTTTTCTTTTTAAAAGTAAAATCATAGGGGTTGTGACATATGATAGTACATAACACCGGGTATTATTACGGTTTTGACACATGATAGTCCATAACACCGGGTATTATTACATTAGTATTTCTTAAAAACACACAATTATTGAGAACAACTACGTGAAAGTATCTTTTTAGATGAATCTACTAGTATCATTTATTTTTCAGATACAAAATCATAATATTTTTTTCTTATATTAGTGAGTAATGATCTTGAAATTTGACCTAACGATTGCGAATATAGAGGAATTAATAGAGGAATTAATTCAGGGTAGGAAGGATTGCCTTAACCTATTATTATCAGTTTCCTTCCATTTGTCTGTCATGACATTTTGGTTTATAGCAACCCTATTCACCATACAACTATTTCCAATTGTATATGCTATCACCAGTATTTCACTGAACCAGCTGATTTGACTATGGATCTATTCCTCTATATCATAAGTAGATGATACGCATATGCTATATAATATTGTTCATCATCTCTCTCTTTATCTCTCATCTATTTTTCTTCATGGTTCTTGCATCGACTTTCTTGTGCAGAAACGCACAGCGTCAGCAACCGTGAGGAAAATATTGTTACTCCCTATGTGCTCGTTGAGCTTGGATGACAAGAGCTTTTCCATGACGATGGATCCAGGATTTGCTAGGATGAGCTGCCAAATACACAATATTTCCATATTAATCATCGGTGCATTAAAATTGTAGGTTTTGAACAATGAGTTGTGAAACAAAATTGCCAGTGTACATTCTTTTCTTAAGCAATTGTTAACTGGTATTTTTATTCTTGATCTCTTCATATGATGTTTTTGAGACTACTCTGAATGTATTATATCTTAAGTATTTGGTATCAGTGGAAGATATAATTTTAGTTTCAGAGTACGTACCTGAATGTCTCTCTTCTTAAGATTCTTGTATAGATCTTCTAGAGCATGGATGCCACTTGTATCGATATCTATGACCGCTGCAAAAAGTATTAAGATTTGTATCAGCTCAATAAGTGATAAACTTAATTTATGAATTATGATACGAGACCACTAAATCACTAAAACTTACGGGACATCTCTATGATCAAGAAATTGATTTTAGACTGTCCCTCTGCTTTGGCTTTCTCTTCTTCCTCCGTCAACCACCTAAGAGTTCTGAAATGGACCAGATAAATGTCATGAGGCTATATGTTCATTTGCATTTCATTATATCTCAATTCTAAATGCAAAACTGAATAAATATATGTAGACTATACCTCTCCCGGACATAGTTTGAGTTGGAGAAGTAGATAGCAGAATCAACCCTCACTATTACAACCCCAGGAATATGTCTTGCTTCTGGATACTGATCAGTGTTCCTGTATATTGTGGTGCCTGGAAGGTTTCCCAGAAGTACAGTCCTTGGCCTTGTTACTTGAAGAAGAATTTTAGCAAATGAAATCGATACCTGTTAACGTCACAGAAATTAGGTGAATTTTCACTTATCTATATGCCTTTGGAAAAGAACTTGGCAAGTTGGCAGTCAAATCAAAGATTTAGTGCTTACAGCTATTAAAAGACCTATCTCAACAGATGCGAAGACCACACCAAAGAATGCTCCCATGCAAGAAATGAAATCCATTTTGTCAACTTTCCAAATGAGAATTACTGCTTCGTAGTCCACAAGGCCGATCACCGCAGAAATGATTATCGACCCGAGGATCGCATTTGGTGTGTACTTGAAGAGTGGTGTGATGACCAACAAGGTCAGGAGCACAACTGCTGACATAATGATATTGGACACTGGTGTTTGGCAGCCAGCCATGAAATTGACTGCGGAACGAGAGAAAGAACCTGATACAAACCAAATCAGCAGGTTTCAGCACTGCATTTTCAGATTATGTACCATCAGGTCATTGACCCTGATAAATTGATATAGTTACCTGTTGCAATATAACAAGATGTCATTGACCCTGCTATGTTCATAGTTCCAAGTGCTACCATCTCCTTGTTTCCATCTAATTGATAGTCCTTCAGAGCAGCAAACGTCCTCCCAATTGCCACAGCTTCCTGATAAGTCACCCACACAAATATTAAGGTCACATCTGAGAAGACGCGTTGCATGGGAAAGGGCACGGTTTATATTGAATACCTTACCGTTAAACCGATCATGGCGGAAATGACACCGATCTTGAAACCTTTTGCAACAAATGGACCAGTGAAATAAATTTTGTGGACTGATGATGGGTTTATGCCCTTTTTGATGTGGTTAACCTGTGATGACCAAATACCAGCAAAATTTTCATCCATGAAAAGCATGATGAGGTGTATATGAACTAAGCCTCAACTGTATTGACTTGAGTACTTACAATCTGAACACCTTGCTTGTCAGCACGAGTAATGAACACAAAAAGGGTTGCCAAAATAACTGAAGTTATAGGAGCAATAGCTGGCACCCAGAAGAACTTCCTATTCTTCTTTCCCTGTCAATCAAAATTTACTAGAATGTGAGACAGATTCTCTAGTTAGTAAAGAACTAAAGATCAATGGTGAAAATCTATGAATATAGGAGATGCTCACAATGTACTTGGCAAGCAGAAGGAATGCAAGGAAAGTTATGCCAATCACAATAGTTTGCCAATTCCACTGCATATGGAGCATAACTCCTTGTCAGTCTCATTATAGAATTCAGTATATAAAACCAAATGGTTAATTTCTTTAGGATCAACAAGATAAGTACCCCGTGATGAGCTGAAGTCCAAACAGAGCGCATAACAGAAATTATATCGGTTTTCTTTGTAAAGCTCTTGATGCCCAACACATATTTTAGCTGCTGAAGGGCAATAGTAATGGCTGCTCCTCCCATAAACCCAACAATTGCAGCATGTGACAAGAACTCGATGAGGAATCCTAGCCTGAAATTACATCAACTCTTACATTAGTGTATCCACAGTTTCTGAGAGCTTCCCGTAGATGTTTGTGTATACCTTAAAAATCCTAGGGCTGCTTGAGTGATACCAGCAAAGAAGGTAGCCGTGAAAGCAAGGCGCAGATATTCCTCCTTGTTTTTGACAGGGTCGACTTCATTCTGTAAAAGTGAACCTATTAAAAGCGAAACCACTGCAACCGGACCGATTGCAATATCCTTTGAGCTGCCCATTGCAGCATATATCAATGGGGGAACAAAGCTGGAGTCTGAAACCAAATAAACATAATGCCAGTTAAGGCATAGAACATTCAAAATTTTCATTTCAAAGCACTACAACAGCTGTAATGGGAGAACTTACATAGTCCATATTGTGCATCCAAGTTAGCAAGCTTCGAATACCCGATATCCTATTAGAGTAAAAACAATCAATGTCAGGCACAGTTTTAAGTACAAGTAAAATCATCGGTAGACTAGTCCCAGTTGATACCTGGGGAATGCAGAGACTTGCAATGGTCAATCCAGCAATTAAATCACCTTTGAACTTTCTTAAGTTGTAGCACCTGCCCCACTCAAAGATTGGGAACAGGAACTGCAGCGCCATCATGAACTTTGCCGATCCAGATTGGTCCTTGTACTGGCGTAATGGGTTGTCATGGAAGAAAGTCTCTCTCAATGTGTCTCTAAACTCTCTCGCAAAGTTCTTTTGAGGAGGACACCTGACCTTGTACACACGCGGTTCTTCAGATGATCCATAGGAGGGAAGCTGTGTGGTGGTGCTGACTTCATTTGCTGTTGACTCATCATGCTGATGAACCATATCTGATTACTGAATTAACTTTTAACTGATCTGGGAAAACCGTGGAATTAACATTAGCTACAGAAGAAACTATGGAAGCTATAGGTGAAAGTACTCCTAAATTGCAACAATGCACCAGGGCAAACCACACTAATTAAGGAGCGGTATGCCGATATACTTCCAAATAAAAGGTCAATAAAATAAATTGCAAAATACTAAGGAAGAGTATTTACTTGGAAGCAATGGATGCAACAACAATAAATTAAACAAAGTTGGTTAATCCCGCAGTTCCCAACTGAATCCTTGTACACCATCAGAAAGAAAATAAATTTTATGCTGATAAATCTTTGGGTCAGATGACAAAATATGGAATAGTGATAAATGCTTTCAGTTTCAGACAAAACACTGTCAAGGGTGGTGTGGCTGTTCGGTGAAACTCCGATATAGAAAAACAACCATCTTTTTATCTCAATTGCCAGCTATTAATTTTAGTATTATTTATCTGTCCAATATATTGCAGGGAGAGACATCAATTGGCTGTTATGTTCAGTGTGAACATGGACAATATGCTGGAGTGCCACTTCAGATAAACTCAAGACTCTCGTTTTCAGTCTGAAAAGGCCAAGCAGGTTTGTTCAGACCGCAATAATTGGGAAAGTTGAACAATTCTATTGAAATCCTGAACCAGTCCTAACAAATCAGCAACTGGTAAGACAACAACATTGATCCAACTTTGTCTAACTTATATGAAAGGGCGTATTTTGCCAGATGTGATTCCTTATAACATACATCTATGAAATTCTCCAAGCAGAGAAGATTGACAGAGGCAACTGTTCCTGTTGCAATCCCTCAGGACTGATCTGTTACTACACAATTATCAATTGCACAGACAGTCAGACTTCTACTTGTCTGAGTAGGTCCAGCAATACTAATCACATTTTTCTCACGTATGTGTTGTACTATTTGCTCAGCAGGATGAGTTTTGATATAGAATCCAGAACACCTGAACATTTCATCACAGCTTACACTATGCAACTCAATTGTCGATTGATATATATTTCTTTTGTCAGATGCAATTAAATTATTTTGCCGGAATGACCGAAGGAGGTCATTCGATGCAATTAAATTATATCGGACACTAGCATAGAAGCATATCAAATAATGCAGGGAGTTTCTGCTTTCTCTTGGTTGGAAGACAGGGGATAAAATAGTACTAACTTTCGAAATGACAAAATTAGTGGCAACAATATTAGACAACCCAAATTTAACAGCAGCAAAACAGCACAAATTAAAGAGTAGAAATTTGCACCCAAACATTCTAAACCACCAATAATATAGCCGAACATCCAAGAACTCCTCCCCAACACAAACAACAGAAGCACACACGAAACGATTGTTGCGCATTCATTCACCACGCATGCATGCAGGTAATCAAGAACAGCTAAATTCAGGCAAGAAATTTCTAACCGGTCGTCCAGGCGCCGCCCTGTCCGGGTTCCCGTTCCCCAGGTAGCCGGCAATGGCGAATCGAGCTTCAATCGCAGAAGGCAGAGCGCCACATCCTCCCCCTTCGCTTCACGCCAAGAAACGCAGGCGTTAGAATCAAGGAGGAAGATGAGCACCAACACATCATGGCGACCATTTCGAAGACCTCACCTACCGAGGAAAATCAGAAGAGAAATCAATCAAAGAATCAAACTCAACTCGTCGCCGTCCCAACGGAGGAGGAGTTGGAGGAGGAAGAAGAAGAAGAAGCAGAGCGAGCGGCAGCAATGGCGGATTCTGCTCCACCCCCAATTATACGCACGCACGAGCACGAACACACAAGAGTCGGTCGCACAGATTACAAATAGACGTGGCGCCATTATGACGCAGTGAGGATCAGATACGCCACGTGGAGGGCCCGTTGACCGGCTACAGTGAGGCTGCGGGTGGGGCCGGGGGCAGTGCGGTCAACGGCGCGGGTGGTGGTAGTACGAGCGGTGGTGAGTGAAGAATGGAAAGTGGTGAATTGACTGTGGAATAGTCGGCAGTTTCTCTGCTCGGGGTTCATGGGGATGAGAAGCCGTCCCTGTTCATCTGAACCTGGTGGGACATCGTAGGTCTGTTTGGTTGATGGTCATTAGGTACCACACTTTGTTATATTTAACTTAGACAGTTTTGATTAACTTTATTATGCGTTTGGTTCATGGTTACACTTATGATAAAATCTTTCTTCTAACACTTTAACCTCACACATTATTGTTTAAAAAAGCGTGGTGGGTTGTGGCTTGCTAGTAAAAGTGTGATGTCAAATTTGTTCGTATAATCTGAAGCAAGCTTGTTAGAAAATTATGATAACCTTGGACAATGTTGATCTATGAACCAAATAGATACCATGATAACAGTAGACAGTGTTGATATACGAATCAAACAATCTCTATATCCCGGATGGATGGGGAGAGAGAGCCTCCTGCTTCTGGCATATTTTTGCTGGGGAGGTGTCTTATTTCAATCACTTTTCTCATTCTTTTATGACAATCTAATTATTCTCGTTGTTTTTTCTTAAGTATAAAATGTTAAACAACATGTTTACACATATGAAAATTATTACAAAATTACATGAATTAAGTTTGCAATTCATAAGATTTACAAAATTACATAGACAATATTAGAACTTAGATAAAAATAAAGTAAAGCCATACAAAACAAAATGATTATAGTTAAATAGAAATAAGAACTGTACATGCATACTACTTCAAAAATTTAGGCTTAGTATGTGCAATTTTGGGTGACTAAATATTTATAAATTTTATGGCGCCTGTAATCTTGCGATGCTTCGTACCATTAAAGTGCAACTCTTAGATTATCGTGGACACGTTACTGAAACAACTAACAAATGTTTGTTTAAAATAAAAATTATATAGGATTTGTCAGGATCACCTTTTCAAATACTATTTTTCATTTTTTAATATTATTTTTGTGTGTCCTTAGCTGTTAATCACCATCTGTATGGTTGTATATCAGGGCAGCTTACTGTTTCACAAGAATTAGTTTATTCTCCAAAAAATATCTAAATTTTCTTCAGTTCAATCCAATCCATTTATCCAAAGAAGGCATCACATATAGATACTTTCAAATTGTGTGAAATTAAAAGAAAAGAACAACAATTTGAAGAAATTTGAATATTTTATATAGATAAAATCTTAGTAATCCAAGGACTACACGTTCACATCCAAATGTAACCCTTGATGGTACTACACACAAAAAGAAAAGGAACTCTCATATATATCCGTGGCCTTAATTCACTGCCACACCGCAGCGACGTGTTAAAACTGGTGGTACTTGGTTGGGTCGTAGTCATGAAACGCCCTGGTCGAGGGGTTACCAGATGAATAGGAATTGATCACGACATAAATATCGAGCAAAGATGACGACCGTAATGTCTTCTCTTGAGGGGGAAAAAAAAAGCATGCACCTTGGATTGAAAAACGGTGTGCAGATTTCTCACATGCGACCATATATATATCTGTGGTACAAATGTCATGTGTTATGCGGTAGATGGATGAGAATTCTAGCCTTCAACACGTATATATGTAAACACTTTATACTAGCACCCACATAAATCATAATATCAGTTATAAATTTCTAAATAGAGTTAAGGGAAATACTAAACTAAGAGTTATATATGAGTATATGAGTAGAAATTAATCAGCACTTACTCATTCCAAAATTTTAAACTATTTAATGAACATATACACCCACATGCATATATCATTTCCAATTAGCCTATCAAGTTCAATTGGGGATGTGTCCTATCACAACATTCTCTGTTTTTCTTTTCAAGTTAAAATCATATTGGTTTTATGTATTATTGCCAGAGACCGGGAATATAAAACATTTACATTATATAAAAGTATATTGCTTGTGATACAACAAATATTCTATATGATCGAGGTGGTTTTTCAAAAGAAAATCATGACTATCATTTTCTTCTTGTCAATCTAATTCACATCTTGAATTTGATTCATACATTTTACATGGCTGTAGAATGAGCCCTCCCCTGCGCATAGAACACAACCTTTTATTTCGAAACTAGGAAGGTAGCCCGCGCATTCGCGCGAGCATGCTTGTTATTTCATTTCGAAAACAGGTCTAACAAAATGAATTTAAATTAAAGTGAGATATTTCCCTTCTTATTTAAAGGGATGGTATTTCCCCTCTTAATTGAATTATTAAAGTGAGGTATTTCCCTTCTCAATCTTCTACCAGGGACTAATGATCCAAACAAGACCAAATCCAAATTAAACAGGTATTTCCCTTATTTATTTATGTCACCAAGATAATTCATATATAAATTAATATTCCACTTAAAAATATATCTAATAATTTTTATAGTAACAAATTATGGTGCATATAACCTTAAAAAAAAAGAGAATACAGAGGGGGAGGAGTAGATGTGGTGGTACGAACGTATTATACGTACCTGTGGGTCCAAGAGAAAAGGGTGATCGGATCGGTGGACTTAATTTAATGGTTAGTATTATTGGGTCTACAGTTTTAAATAAAAATAAACGGTTAGATATTTTTCTTTTTTCTCAAAATTTATTAGAATGCCACGTGGTGGTTTAGGACGTTTATAGGAATCCCACGTGGCGGCTTGAGAGCGTTTGTAGGAAGTTTAATGGGCTTTTAGTATATAATAAATTGCTAGAAAGCACGAGCATGTTCACTCGTGTTCCACCTCATGCTCTAACTCATATGTTCTTTTATCTTTCCCTTAAATTAAATGTTAGGAGAAAATAATATTGCTAGCTCCTTAAACCAACATACATGAGAAATCTGACTGACTGGCTTTAAGAGAGCTGGTTTTCTATAAGGACATCCTTAGTACCAATGTGCATAGCCTTCATTTTCTATCTACTTGGTGTTTGATGAGAAATAAAAATGAATATCCAGAATTCGCGAGGCTGAGGCTGAAACCGAATACCATTACCAATCAAAAGCAAAGATATTGGTGTTCCTGGTTTGGTATCCACATCCATCTCAACCACCTTAACGACGGTCTATCCATTTCCTTCCTCCTCGTGCTAATTAATTAGTTAACTCTCAAACTGTCCAAGCAGATTCATTCAACGATTTCGCTCAAAAAGGGGTGGCTTCAGAGTTCAGACAGTTCAGCGAACAGTGTCTAGTGTTCTGAAATTTTAAAACGCCTTGCCGGTTGCCACACTGTTAGTGCAAGTCGCCGGCGACGAAAGAAACGGTCCTGTTACGATGCCGGCCGGCTAATTTCGTCTCTGACGATATAGACAGCTCTTTGGACATTTGTGTGTGCCATGTAATGATCCATCTTTGTTCTAGAACTGATTGATGATTGACATTTAAACTAAATGTCAAAAAGGCCCTGCACCTAATTGATGATTGACATTTACTGATATGATCACCAAATACCATGTTCTAGAAGTGCAATTTCCTTGGCTGTTTTTAGCTTGAAGCTAACTATCTGAACTGGACAAACGAATCATGTGAGTAGTTGGCATTACATGTTTGACTAGACCTTGGAATTATCAGGCCGGAATGGATAGTCTGAGGAGTGATAGCCACATGACCGGTCATGGTCGTGTACACTCACTGACAGCATAAGAATTTTGTTGCCGTTTCACACCAAATTATGCTGCTGATTTCTGGCCTGTCGTCGTCGATCGACAGCAAGCGGTTCTAATTATGTGTTTAGATAGTTTTTAGCATGGTACAATAGCTAGTCTTTGCCTCAGCATATATACCTCAGATTGTCGCCGTCCTGCCCGCCCAGAATCTAAGTACTTGTTCAAATATCACCTGCGCAAAAAGAAAAATACTAGCTCAATTTTGTCTTTTTGTAATTAGTACTTAACTCCCTCCGTCCACAAAAGTTACACCTATTTCACATTTGAGTTTTTCCAAATAAGTTGTTCCTATTTGTAGTCTTTATATATTCAAAACTTAAATGAAAAGATAAATTAAATGTTTTATTAGAACCCAAGAGTAATCTAAATACTCATTGGTTGCATCCTTGCATTCACTCTTTGATTTTGTAACTTCCAAGATGATTTAATTTCTTCTTAGTCTTGGTGACAAAAGTAATAGGTGTAACTTTTGTGGATGAAGGGAGTACTTCACATTTGCTCTCTCCGTTCTAAAAAAACAAATCTAAAACTGTATGTAACACATTCTAATACAACGAATCTAGACAGAGATATATATGTCTAGATTTGTTGTAATATGATGTGTCACATCCACTAGTACTACGTTGGTTATTATATGACAGAGGGAGTACTATATAAGTAGGTGGCTAAGCTTTTTTTTATATATAAAGAAATTTGCATGATTGCCAACGTACATTTTGGCTGAAAATTACTTAGTGACGTGAGTTGCATGCGTGTAAGCGTGTTGAAAAGAGAGGCCGAGCTAGGTATTCTTAGGATCTTGCACTGATACACACAATCAGCACAATATTACTTATTCTTGGACTACTCTTTTGTATTTACTCGGTTGTTGGAAATGTACTGGGAAAATGACAATATTGTATATGGAGGTACATTTGTTTTGTTCACTGTAAGCTTCCTCAAAGTGTAGTTATCCTTGGACAAAAGCGTAGTTATCCTTGGATACGATAGATATGCAGCAAGTTGTTTACCCACAGCTCTTGTATGCTTAATTAAGTCACTAGTGCCTCTTATCATGCATGAAATTAAAAGCCTCTCATCAAACTCATGCATTATAAAAAGAACTTGGTATTCTCACAAATTCATATGGTTTTTACTAGTTACAAGCCCGTGCATTGTAACGGCATAGGACCAGCTGGTGAACGTGTT